TACTTAAATTTGGTATTAATTTTTCTCTGACCCATTTCATAAAGTTCGATGAGTTCATATCATCATGATAATCAGCAGATTTGGATTTACTACTGAACACTAATAATGCACCAGGCACAAAACCTTCCTCAGATCCAGCATGCACAACAATATGCCGTTTTCCAGAGGATATCTTTGTAGTGACACCAGTTGTTGAAGGTCCTTGCCAAGACTTTTTAACTTTATAATTCTGATGTACATAAGTTTCATCAAGGTACACAATTTGCTTTCCTTCGTTTCGTTTTATATTTATTTCTCTCAAATACTTGTGCCTCCATGCAGAAATCTGGTATTTTTCTATAAGCATAGAACGTTCATTTTCATTGCTTTTAAAAGAAAATCCATTCTTAAGCATAATTTTTCGTAAAGTCTCACGGCTACCACTGAATCCTATTGCATCTTTTAATTCATTGTGAAGGCTTCTTAATGTTGGAACAATTTTTTTCACACAGTAAAATTCATTTACTTTATTCCGAATTGCACTTAAATCAAAATTATCTAAAGCAGACACTGTTGGTTGATGAGGTCGTTTTTTCCCAGGAGTGTCCCATTTTCCTTTATTAATTAATGCTTCATTTTTTATCCTTCTTAGTGTCCTTATACTTACATCTATAAAAGATTAAACACTTTGAAACAAAGATATGTTAAATGTATTTAAAAGCAAATAATGATAGACACATACATCAAAATAATTTAAATACCTATTCAACTATGAATGCAATTTATGTTTAATTTAGTTAAGTTTATGTGCATATTTAGCATGTATAACAATTACATGGTTTGATTAGTTTCATGAATTCTGTGAATTTCCTTGTTAAACAAAACATTCTTATGACATCATTGGATGTCAACAATAAAAACCAATACATCATAAAAAACCTATGTAAATATTATAGGAATACTATCAATCTATCTTAAATCAAAACAAGAAAAGAGACCTGTCATTGAAGAAATTTTTTGTAAGTACTGCGTTTCCGAATTCAGCATTTCTTGTTTTTCTAAAGTTTTTATTGCATTTATCTCCTCCATTATTGGTTGAATATCACCATCACAGTTATCTGAAATAGAGCAATATTTTATAAAAAATATCTGTTTAGTTAATTACAGAAAATTAAAACGAAAGTATCAAAATTATAATACAAAACTAACCTAAAAAAGATACAACTTTATCTAATCGTTGTAATTTCTCCATGAAATTTTTATTTAATTCAGTTTTCACTTCAGTAAACTTGTCAATCATGATGGAAAGAAGTCTCCTCGATGAACTTTTTATCGGCTTCGACATAATTTTTAACCAAAAACACAAGTTCAAATTCGCAAAAACAACAAAATTCAATATTCTTGAATTGTCTAACGTAGTGTCAAACTGACAGTTCTATGTTGTTGCCATATGAAAACGGAAAAATAGGTGGTGTCACGTTTCGCTTGCCAAACTCTATCAATATAAATCAACTTTCCGACAATTCGTTGTATCCACCATCCCTAGTGTCAACGTCAGGAACACGTTCTTGTGTGTGGTGTTTACTTTTTCTGTGAGTGTTTTTGGGAAGTTTTATTTTCTTATTAGTAACATAGATTAATAATTTCACTTATTTGTGAAACTTTTCATCGTGAGCAAAATCGATTAACGAAGGTAAATTAACATAACCACTATTTACTTTGAAGCGTTAGCAAGTCGAACAAAACGAGATAAACGAAAACAATTTAAACAAGAAATCTTTACTTTTACGCATTCATGCAGTCATTTGAATTGATGATATAATTTTTTACAGCCAAATGGTTAATCCAAATCTGTCACATATTAAATTAAGGACTGAAGACTGATTTTCATTAACTGAAGTGGCTGACATAGAATAAGTGTTTTCTTGAGATACATTTTTACAGAGCCATATTTTATTTTTCATACATAACCATTGTACATAAACCAATTTTAGCCTATTTTTGTTTGTTTTATGTTTTCTTTTATACTTTATCATGCAATTAGTCTACTTGACAACGAGCAGATCTGTTTGTGCAATTGGAGATCAGAGAAATTAATTCCAGTAAGAGAGAAAAACAATCTCTGTCTCATGATATAAGAATGGAGGAATACCTGAATAGTTATTTAAGATACAAGTGTGGAAAGTAAGGTTTTACGAATAAGGGCCAAATTGAAAACACGAGCGTAGCGAGGGTTTTCATTGTCACGAATTCGAAAAACCTTTTACGCTCAAGTTTCTTACAACATTTTTCAATGCTTTTTGCGAGGAAATAAAACAAATATATATAATAGATTTTTTCCCCTTGTCGCATGGTTTTTGTACGGTGTTGCGGAATAATGGATTAGAAGCAGTATTGAAATAGTATGACACAGATGCCGTACAAACTCAAATGACCAAATTTACCCCAGTAATTGTTGGAAAATAAAAATAAAAACCGACTTTGTGGCGCACCATTATTTACGGCACTGCGCGTTTTCTTAAGATTTTTAATGGATCTATCGGTGGTAAAAATGCTGTACAAAAATATGTGACCAAAATGTACTCACTCTACCTGTACTTTCGAATTCTCACCTGCACTCAGTTGGACAGCTTACAAGTGACGGCATAGTATTGAATCTTATTTTTTTATGCTCTTATATCGTTCTAGACAGGTCACCTGGTGGTTCAAATGACCCATAACTTTTTCAACATGGGCCTGTAGTCTATACCCTATGCCAACAGCGAATTAAATTATTGCTTGCATTTCTCAGAGCATATACACAAGTGGTCGTAAATGAAGCGACTTCTAAGCTTCTAACACTAAATACATCGAAAGGACTATACAGTAGATCGCCTAGCATTCTATGTCAAAGCCTATCCAATGTTCAATAACAGCGTACCTCACAGAGGTTCGAGAAGTGGCCGTCCTGATTGACGAGGTAATCGTAAACAGGGCTAGAGAGACACTGCTTTGTAAAGGATCCAATAAGCTGGCTTATGATTAAAAATGACACTGATTTTCAAACAAAGGATTCAACGAGTTGGCTTACGATTAAACAAAACTAAATGTCAATTTGCAAAGGGCGTTGTCATCGATAGTGAGGGCATTCATCCTGCACCTAGTAAATTTAAGGCAATCTGTAACACTTACACCAAATAGTAAACAAGAACTCAAGCTCAATCTTTACTATATTTCAACCACTACACAGATTACTAGACAAATCAAGTGAGTGCCATTGGACTGTAGAAGAGCAAAATGCATTTGAAGTTTTACAACTATTTGACTGGAAGGCATTTTAGTTTTAGTAGTGACGAATCATATGTCTCTTCGAATATTCAACCCGAAAAAATCAATACCAAACATTCTATCCCCCTAGATTAACAAAAATCGCAATAGCACTGATATCTAACAGCTACGACATTGTTTACAAACCTGGATGTGAAATTGTAGATGCTGATAGATTGAGTCGCTGGCCTGGGTAAGACGTGGTGCTCATGGCAGAAACGCCTGACGGTTTTCCCCTATGTTTTCCATAAGATCTATTTTGGCAAGGGGACAGACTTGCGGCATGGTACAACCTTGCATACGGCAAGAAGTTACATTTTGCTGCCACAAAACACATGCCACCTAAATCTATGCACGAATATATTAATAGATATTTTCTAATAGTAATTGATGCATATTCTAGATGGCCAGAAGTTATTGTGGTAAATACTACGTTAGCCACATGGATTGTGTGAACTATTAATTTCTGATAACGGTACATCTTTTGTATCTAATGAAATGAAGAGATTTTCAAAGACTAATAAGATAAAGCAAATCACCACAACAACTTTCCACCCTGCTACTAACGGCTTCGAAGAAGGAATGATACAGACAGGTAAGGACAAGTTACAGAAAATTAAAGAGGTATCGTGAGAGTGAGGTTGCTACTCTAAGAATAATGTCTTGCACTTCAACCAACAAGAGTCCGGCTCTTCTTTTAATGCGCTTACGAACTCTGTAATACCCGGATAATAACAAAAACAAAAAGACAGATACACAAATTTCGAATAACGCACAAGCTTCAAGGAAAGGTTACTGATAGGACAGGACCGTGAAGTTATAAAGTCTAGAATAATGAGGGTGCAGTACTGAACAGACCAATTGATTTAAGTGAGAACGAGAGATCGACTTAAGGGGGAGGAAACGATGGTCCTGAAATAATAGACAAAGATATGGCAGAAATACGTAGATATGGATTTGGAATCTCTGCCACATGCTGCGTGGGACACTAATGATGTTATCAAAATACCTAGTCCGAACAAATTGCTGATATGTTTGGTGTCTAAAGTATTTCAATCTGACGTGTTCTTGTGGCACCTCGAAAAAGAAACTGTCTGCATATGATGAACGGTTAGCTCATTTGAACATGGTCCCATTGTCACAGCGTGGAATTCTTAATGACGTGTTTTTTGTTTCAAAAATTCTTGTGGATTGTCCTCAGATGCTGGATAGAATTAAGATGCGTGTCCCATCTCGATACCCTCGAAAGTCAATAACGCCTCTAAGTGCACCATTTCTTAAGACTGTTTTCGGGTCTTATTGACCGGTTGCAAGGTTTTGTAAGATAGTAAATGAATTCAGTAATATCATAGATATTCATTTCGACTCGCCCTTTAGGATGCGTAAAAAGATCTAAGATACGTGAAAAGGCCTCTGAAACATTTAGACTATGTCAATCGAACCCAAACACAAGGGATAAACTTTGATTTTTATTTTTTAAGTCGTAGTTGTGCATATTGGTGCAGGTTGTGTTTGCCTTTAAGAATTCGTGGCAATTAGATAATAATAGTAAAATAATTAAGTAAGGAATATTGTAAACAAATGCTGGCAAACCTAAATAAATTATTGTTTGATGTGTGTTTCAATTCCATAGTAAAATTATAAACTTAAACGCACAAATAACATAGATTGTCCAGAGGCAGATACGTATTTCGCTACCGTAACAAGGAGTGACGTCACTTCATGGCTTGAATTTGTATGGAGCGTTTGCGGTCGACTATCAGTAGTTCTACAGTCTTAGCACTGTATCTCTGAAACTATTAATCGTAGATGTACTGTTACTCGTACATTATTACTGAGATTTTTAATGGACTATTTATTTATAAGAAAGTAGTTATCTAGTCTGCTGATATTTTAAATATTTATACCTTAGTAAATTATTGAGTTTTCTATTTGTTTTTTTTCGGGTTTTGTTTAAGTAAATAACTTAAATTATATTGGCACCCTATGAGACTGGTTGCTGCAGGTTTAATTTCAGAACCTAGAGTACCTACCTATCATTAATAAATAACTAAAAAATATTTGCATAATATGTACTATATCTTTTATTATCTTTCTTTTGTCTATGATACATGTATGGTATATATGTTTAAACATTTTAATGGTTTCAAATCTTTTACAGATTTTTTAGTTTATTATAATTATCTTTTACAAACCCTTAATTCAATGCTTTAAAATGTTATGTTTTGTAATATGAGTAATGTATAAAATTGTAAGAGTACATTTATATTGTTATCATACAAATTTTTCAAATATCTTTATATTCATTCATAAAATCTCTTGCATAATTATATTGTACTGTGATATTTAGATATTTTTTTTATTTAAATTAAAAACATCAAAGTTTTCCAAGGAATTTTTTGTTAACAAAACAGATAACTTAGACATATTATGTATTTACAATGATGTTTTTTTAGTTTATTATAATTATTATTTTTTAATATTATTGTAGGTATGACGAAATTATTATTTGACAAAACAAAGATGTAGTCTCATTGAAATTCATATATTTATTAGTATTATCATTGCATAAGTTGTTTGCTATTATTTGTTCCAGATAACTTTTGATAGATTATGAACTTTGACATTGATGTAAGAAATCAGTCTGTGCAGCGTCAATGAAAATAGCATTCAGTCTTGTATAGATCATTGAACTCATCGGACTTACTGTGCAATTATGGCGATCATAAGATATTTTTCATGTGAGGCATTTAGTGCTCACAAGACCAAGGAAATATTACAAAAGTTGAAAAATGTTGATGCTGATGTGTCAGAATTATCAACTGAACTCTGTTACCATGTAGAGCTTGCTGAAGGTTGCCATCACTTGAATATCAACCAGATAAAAATTCTTAAATGGTTACTTAGTTCACCCCTTCAACCTTACGCTTTAAAGAATGAAACTGTGTATAAAAATATGCAACAAAATCAGATCATAATTGAAATTGGGCCAAGGTAATATTTTTTATTAATTTAATACTTTAGGTAAAAACATATCAACTTATTACAAAAAATATAATGTGATCATTATTATCTTTAACTGTTTGTTTCTCTTGTGTTGTAAATGGATCAATTCAAGTTACTTTATGTACATGCTTAAGAGGGACTTATTGGATAAATTAGATCAGGGGTGTGTAACCTTTTTTGCCCACAGTTCAAGAATCGATTCAAATATGTTATTAAAGAGATAGGAGGTTTGTTTGTCCGTTATGTCTTGAAATAAACCTTTTTGTTTTTATTTGTCCACAGTAATTTTTATTATTACTTTTTAGTGCTACAAAATTTATCATGAGCTGGTATATTTTTAATTTGGGGTACCTGGAGCTGGCTCATTTTTAAGAATATTACATTAAAGTTATTTATCAGTATAGTATTGGGAATGCAAAATTGATCAATTAAAATAATGATCTATAATAGTTAAACAATTGACATTAAACCTAAGTTTTTTGTCTATGCAACCATGTCTATGGTTGATGATCCCTGGTTTAATTTATGCTTGAACCCAGTGTGCTGTGGCGCTTCTTGGAGCAGGACAGTGTATATATACATTGATCATTGCCAGTATACATTGCCAGATCCACTTGTTTTATATAAATAATTGAATTATTTCAGGTTCAATTTTTCAACAGCTGATTCCAGTAACTCTGTACAAATATGTGAAAGTGTGGGATTACATGATATTGTTCGCCTTGAGGTCTCAACCAGATATCTTATTTCTTTCAACAACACAAAAAATGTTACCCCAGGCCTTTTAGAAGGTTTAGCGGCGCCTTTACATGACAGAATGACTCAATGTATATATACAAGCAAAAATTTACCAAGACAAAGTTTCAATGAAGGTCTGCCAAAAGATCTAGAACCTTGGTTTATTGTACCTTTGCAAAAAGAAGGTAGAAAAGCAATGGAAAATGTGAATGCAAAATTAGGTAAAAAAAATATTAGTTTATATCAGATCATTCTACCATTATTAAGTATGAATTTGTAAAGTAAAAGTTATTTCCATATGATTATTTTTTCTAGGATTGGCTTTCGATTCATGGGATATGGATTTCTATATGGATCTGTTTGTAAACAAATTAAAACGAGACCCAACTAGTGTGGAGTTATTCGACCTTGCTCAGAGTAACAGTGAGCATTCACGCCATTGGTTTTTCAAGGTAAATCTATGGTATACAGTTATTAAGTTAATCTTATTTCTGTGCATTGAATATATTAACCTTTATTGTATGTGTACTATGGTTACATTATTTCTTGACTTGGAACGCTTTATTTTCAGGGAAAACTTATTTTGGACGGTGAAGAAATAAACCAATCCTTAATTGATATGGTAGCTTCTACTCAACAAAATTCTAATAACAATAATGTTATCAAATTTGGTGATAACAGCAGGTATATTTGGCTCGTTCTGATAAATTTGAAATTGCTTTTGTAAACCTATTGTTTACGAATGTTGACATTTCAGCGCCATCAAAGGTTTTAAACACAAGAAGATAAGACCAGTTAATGTTAGAGCACCATCTCAAGTGATAGAGGAAGAAGTTGAATCGGATATAATATTCACAGCTGAGACTCATAATATGCCAACTGCGGTGGCACCTTTCAGTGGTGCCACCACCGGGACTGGGGGACGAATCAGAGACGTCCAAGGTGTTGGACGGGGAGGACATACTGTAGCTGGTACTGCAGGATATAGTGTAGGCAATCTCCATATACCAGGTCAGTTTCAGACGAAGATATTATGTGATATAAGTAGGTAGTAGTAGGTAGACGTTCGGTAGCCTCTTCCAGATCCCTGGAGGCTCACTTGGAAAGCTACTTTCTGTTTTTAGTGCAATATGGCTCCGATTCCGATCTTATGGAAGGGTAGGGAGTTATTAAATTTTATCTTTTTAAAGTAAAAGTATGCATATTATTTTTAAAGTGTTTTAAGAGACTTACGCCTACACTTCAAATTCTCATCATTATGATAATTTAATAATAAACACTTTTCTATAAAAATATTTATTTATTAAAAAACGTCATTTCCTGTCTTAATTACATTAGATACATAAATAGTTATTTCATAATTTCGAATTACTTTTAGTTTATTTTGTATACACTTTAGGTTGTGGAGTGAAAATAGCTCTATTATTTTTTAAGCTCTTAAGTTATTTACTAATGCAAGATAATGAACAAAAATATTCTAGGTTATGAATTACCATGGGAAGAAAAAGGATGGGAATATCCTAGCAACTTTGCAAGCCCTCTTCAGATTATAATAGATGCAAGTAACGGCGCATCTGATTACGGAAATAAATTTGGGGAGCCTGTTATATCAGGTTGGTCAGAATGTGATATGAATGTTAAAAAACGTAAAATTAAAATAGTTTTATTACATTTACAGAATTTTTTAACTTTATTACTAAATTATAAGAATGGAAATTCACATATTTATTTTGTTTGTAGGTTTTGTTCAGTCTTACGGATTGAAAAATGCTGATAATGTGAGGGAAGAATTTGTTAAACCCATTATGTTTAGCGGCGGTATTGGTTACATGCCTCATACAATGATTAAAAAGAACAAACCAGAAAAAGGTATGTGAATTTTTCTTATACTAAAATAGGTTTTCAATCGTTTGAGCAAGATTGTGTGAGCTTGAGTTTATTGTGGAATGTTAATAGTTCAATCTTACTAGATTATAGAATTAAGAAGTTTACTAACAGTGTCGGTGATTAAGTTTTGTTTAGTATTGAGGAAGCAAGCAGGCTCGCTTAGTGTTTTGATTAAAGAAGAGGATATTAAAATAAATGCACAAAGAAGTATCTTAAACATTACACTACAACGCCCACAGACAAATCTAAGCAACTCTTACTTAGCTTTAGCTGGGGTCCAATTTAAATTAATTCTGTTTGTAAAGTACTTTAAAATTAAATTACAATTTAAACTTATATCTACGGACGACGTCATTTTGGTACGTGAATAAAACAATATATTATTCTAACAAAAACGGTGCCACCTAAAGATCTGCTACAAAATAAAAAGATATAAATAAGAAAACGGCGTCAACTAGAGATCTGTAACAAAATAATTTAATTAGCGTTTATGTCTGATTTGACAGATGCATAAATGTTTTTGCCAATATGACGTCATACGATACTAACGCATACTTCCGTTGAAACAATCAGGTTTCAGTGTTGCACCGACCCTAATTATATTTTAATGCATATTATGATTCAAAATCAGAGTATTTAATTTATTTGATAAATATTATATTTACAATGCTATATTTATATAAATATATTCAATACCTGAGATAGTTAAAATTTCTAAGCATTTCTCCTTAAGATATCACAGTAGCTATGTTTATTTGGCCTACATTTTGAGTGTAGTTGAATTTCATAATTAATTATTCACTATTGAGACTCTTAATATGGTCATAAAATTTAAGATTTGTAGCCTATTTTTTTTACATATTTGTTTATTAATTTATTTTGTTCATAGGCATGTTATTAGTGAAAGTGGGAGGGCCGGTATATAGAATTGGAGTTGGCGGCGGGGCCGCTTCATCTGTGGCAGTCCAAGGTGGTGATTCGAGAGACCACGCTCTAGATTTTGGAGCTGTACAAAGAGGTTACTTTCCTTATTTACCAACATATTTTAGCAATAAATCATTATCGCTAAAACATTGTACCTTTTGGGTATGTTATTTCCATAGTTTATACATAGTATGGATTTATATTAAATGTAAATATTTTTTTAAATCCTATTCAGGTGATGCTGAAATGGGTAATCGTCTCAATCGTGTCGTAAGAGGATGTTTGGAATCTGACATCAATCCAGTAGAATGTATGTATTTTACTTTTTAGAATGTCGTTAAGTGTAATTCAGCTTTATGATATTGCGTTTAAGGCAATAAATATATTTATTTAATATATAAGCTATTATATTCTTTTTGTATAGCAATACATGACCAAGGTGCTGGTGGCAATGGCAATGTACTTAAAGAATTAGTGGAACCCGAAGGAGCTGTTGTTTTCACCAAGGAGTTCCAACTCGGCGATCCTACTATCACTACTCTAGAATTATGGGGAGCTGAATATCAAGAAAATGACGCTTTGCTATGTAGCAAGAAAAATAGACCAATACTTGAAGGTCAGAAATTTCTATTAAAACCTTTATTTAGTTGCTTTGTTCTGACAAACTTTTTAATGATTTATATGCGAAATGGCTACTTTTAAAAAAAGTATCTATCTATACATTCACGCTGTATCCCTGGCGGAGTAGTCAAATATACGGGCCTTACATACATCTTTCGCCTTATCTATTAATTACTTTTTTCTTAGATACTCGCCTGTTTTTATTGCTTCTGACATCACGTTCTAAGTGCAAGAGTTAAACCAGTATGAGATTTCTTTAAAAAAAAAGGTGTTGATAAATAAAGGAAAAACATATATTCCTTAATAAATTTGAATAGCCCGCGAAATCAACCAATGACGCGACACACTCAAATAACGATGTAGACGTTTAGTTTATTGAAATGTGACGTCATTCGATGCTCCGTCAGGACCACTCGCGTTTCGATTCTTGTAATCCACAGATACACAGTTTATTAATAACTTATTTTAAAACAAACAATACTCCAACATATTTCACAATTTATTGTTTAGCCGTCAAATGGACCAATTTTAATATCGTATTAAAGGACACAGGTAATAAATTTATCATTAAATGATTAATGATCATTTCAGAAATTTGCTGTCGCGAAAGATGCCCTGTCTCATTTGTGGGCGAAGTAACCGGTGACGGTTTTATGAGTCTCGTGGAAGATTCGTTCACAGATAATTATCTTGACAGGGGGAACAGACTGAAACCAGAGACCAAGAGCAAACTCCCCTACGATTTGCATTTAGAAGCTGTACTTGGTAACTTATTATTCAAATAATATTAAGTCTGTCGATCTTGATAACAAAAATAATACCATCTTCTTTATTTATTATTTTGTCATTTTCAGCTTATATTAATTGTCTATGTAGATTATATTAATGAGAGAAGTTAAGTTTCTAAACGAAAATTAATTGCAAGCAATTTAGATTATTAAAAAATATGTATATAATGTCATTGTCGTTGTTCATATCTTACTTTCTTTTACAGGAAATATGCCAAGAAAGACATTCAACTTGAAGAGAGAACAGAGAACTAAGTTGCCTCTATCACTGCCTAAAGATATCACCGTTAAAAGCGCTTTAGATAGAGTCCTTAGACTAGTTAATGTCGCTAGTAAGAGATATTTGACCAATAAGGTGAGTAATTATAATTGGGATGATGACCGGGTAAAAAAAAAACTATTTAGTCTGTCAGTCAGATAAAAGAAAAATATGAGACACTAATTTTTTATATTTCAATTAACAAGAAATAACTTAGATAAGGGGCATTAAAGTTGAGGAATGGGGACACACTACATCACAGTTTTGTAGAAAATGTACAGTAACGTGATGTCATGTGACAATTCAACTCAATGTATCGCCGTAAATTAATGATTACGGAAAAATAAAAATATACGCGTTTAATATTTTGCAACAATCTACCTGACAGAATTTAGACGACATCCCTATAATCGAAAAAAAATCATATAAACATTCTATCTGTAGGTAATAATACTCTTATAATAACAACTTTTTGAAATAATAAATAGTTTTATCATAACAATTGAATACATACAAAATTATCAGCATTTGTTAAAATTCGCACAAAGCAGAAAGAACCTCATACAATTACGAGTAAATTTCATATTTGATAGAGATTTGAAGGTAAAATGTAATTAAAAAATTCATTCGACTGTCTTCGACGATTGTTAATGAATGATGTCACTCGCCCATAAAATGGTACCGCATGAAACTAACTGTTTTCAAGCGACCTTGCCCGTCTAAATTATAGTCTATCAACCGTAATTAAATCTAAATCCCGTAGGAGAAAGATATGCTGCAATGCAAACAAACAAGTAAATTTTTACTTTATTAAAAAAAAATAGACTCAACAAGTTTCAATATTGGCATCAATATTCTATATTGGCATCATCTCCTGACATTGGAACTTGGTGCCCTGGGCAAAACATTGGAACGACAATGCCCATAAAACATTAGAATCGTAGATTAGCTCCACCAATGACGAAATGGAACTATACTACCATGAGCCTCGAAACGCGAAATGGAACTATGCTATGATGCTCCCAGACATATCACTATGTGCCCAGGTGATTACTTGGGCAAATCGAGAGATACTTTTAACCGGGTCGATCGTGATTTATATCTTTTTATTGATATCTTGATATGCTCGGGCAGATCTCGATCGGCCCGATTCAACGCTTGGCCCACGACATACACACTAGTCTATGATCTAAGAACACAACAAAATAAAAGACTAATGTTGATACATCGATTAAAGAGTGTAATTTTGCTGATGGAAAAAGAAACTCCTAAGTCTGAAATGTCATGTTCAAACAAAAGTATTTTTTATTAAGGTACTGCATTTTTAAGGTTCCAATATCAGAGTAAACTTAGTATGTTTGCCATGCCTTGCCGCCCTCCAAACACGAGCGCTCTAAGCAGTTGGCAAGTTTGCCTATAGTATGGACAGACCGGCCCTGGAAACAAAGCTTATAATCCGTTTTACACAGTATGGGTGTGGTGATGTTTGTTAACAAATTCATGCGCAATTTGTATTTCCATAATTAAAAACCATCATTGTAAAAAAAATTTTTGACTGTATATATTAGATATTTGTTTAAATTTGCTGAATTAAGCACAAATACAAATTTTTAATAGTTATAACTACTGACATCTAACACTCTTAAATTTAAAACGAACGTTTTTTTAATAGGGATTACATCAATAAAATAGTTTTAGTCGAAATATGTATTCAGTAATCATTTGTCATTTTTTAAATTATTTTAGTAGTAACGTTTAAAATTTATATTTTTATCTCTTCATCAGCCCTTTTTACGTCCCCACTGCAGGGGCTCAGGCTTTCCTTATGGATGGTTAAGGAGGATGGGCCATGACCCTCCACGCTGGCCCAATGCGGATTGGAGGGTATTAACGACTGCAAATGCAGCCGGGACCAACGGCTTAACGTGCCTTCCGAAGCACGGAGTAGCTCGAGATAATAATTTTTTGGTCACCCATCCCGTGACCGACCCTTGCGAAAGTTGCTTAACAACTACGATCGCGGGCCGCGGCGCTTATCCACTACGCCACCGAGCTACCTTAGCCTTAGCTTTTATCTCTATTAGAAAGGAACTCAATAATATTACTGGTAGAGAATGCCTTTTTGGCATTAAGCCCGCCATTTTCCATTTTATAGGCATAAAGATTAAATAAATATTTATTATCACATAACTAGAAACTTCAAATCCCAAATGTCACCGTACCCATGCTATGTGAAAAAGACTATAACAAATTAATTTGTCCTCAGGTTGATCGTTGTGTCACGGGTTTGGTAGCGCAGCAGCAATGCGTCGGTCCCCTTCACACGCCGTTGGCAGATTGCGCCATAATAGCTCTCTCTTATAATGGTCTGGTGGGATCTGCCACTTCCATCGGTACACAAAACGTCAAAGGATTACTAGACCCCGCTGCCGGTGCGAGACTCTCATTGGGGGAGGCTTTGACTAATTTGGTAAATATTAATTTTATATTGCCATTTAAGTATTGAAGTAGATTGGAATAAGTGTTTTGCTAGTGCTGTAAATTAGATACACTGACAGCTGAATTTACCCTTTTTTCTTTTAATATTGCAAGATGGCATTTTAGTGTTATAACATAGCTCTATTAAATTATTCATTAAACCGTTCTGTGATATATGAATCAATAAGTTTTTTATTTATCCGACTTCTGAAAGTATTTTTGATGACTCCATTAGTTTGTTTTATTTGTTCCTTAAGGTCGTGGGTTCGATTCCCATTTCAGGGTGCCAGCGACCAAGTGGATTTTTTAAGCATTTTGTATTACATAAAACTCATTTTACGTTTTTTCCATACATGCAAAATTTTAATATTTTGAATTAATCTCTATAATTCAAACTATAAGGCAAATAAAAAGTAATGTGAAAATGTGAATTTATCACTTTTATCACTCATATCACAATACTACTTTTTATTGAATTCCTTCGATTGTCGATTCATGTGGTTTAAAACAAGCATCGAGTTCTGTAAAAACATGCTCAATAAAAGGGTAAAACACATTTCGTCGGTAGTATATTTAGTATACAGTTTCTGCTGCAATATTACTGCGCAGGGATTGCCTTCCAGATGCTTGGAATAACCATATCGCTTGAACTCATCTGCTGTGCTTCCTCAAAAAGGATTGAGAACTGACTTTCGTTCCGAACATTTTGTAAAGTAGTTTTTACAGTTTTTGTATATTCGCAAATGTTGGTTAAATCGACATTGATTTTTTGCATTGCTTTGTTAAGGTTTGTTGTATATGAAAATACTTCTCTCAGTATAACTAAAGAAAAGAAACAATGTACTGGCTGTTATCTACAGCGGTTTGAAGATGGTATGCTTCACAGCAACTATCGATTTCTACAATAGACGTGGTGCATGTATTTTTTTCTGTTGGACAAGTAAGATGGATATAAATTGGGGGGGGGGGGTCCTGACCCCCAAGAACCCCGCCTATATATGCGTCCGTGCGTATGTTCAATAAAATATTTTTCTTTCTTTATGTTATACAGGTATTTGCGGGTATAACAGAACTCGAAGACGTGAAATGTTCAGGCAACTGGATGTGGGGTGGTAAGACTGGCGTGGAAGGTGGCAGTCTGGTGGTAGCATGCGATGCGTTATGCGATGCTATGCGAGAGTTAGGTGTCGCTGTCGACGGTGGAAAGGATTCCTTGTCTATGTGCGCGTACGCCGGTGGGAAGAAAGGTAAACACGAGTTAATGTACAGTTTTTAAAGGATTTTTCCAGTACACTGTGTTATAACTGTTTCAGCGATCCGTAACGGAAGGATTTGTCCCCACTGAGTGGAAAGCTGCATTTATTACCCCTATCCATAAAAGTGGTGACAAAAATATTGTAAATATTTATAATTACCGTCCCATTTCAAAACTATGCCTGTTCTCGAAGATCCTAAAGCGTATAGTCTACAACCAAGTATACAACTCCCTATCGCGCACTTTCATTCCGGAGCAACATAGATTTCTCAAAAATCGCTCAACAACAACAAATCTGTTATCTTTTACCGACTACGTAACATCTGGTATGGAGTCTGTCGATCAGGTTGACTCGATTTTTACTGATTACAGCAAAGCTTTCGATCGAATAGATCATATGCTGCTCTTTAAAAAGCTTCTTGCCGCGTGAATCCATGGTAATTTGTATAGATGGTTTTCTTCGTATATACAAAACCGAACACAAGCTGTAGCATTAAATGGGCACACTTCGAACTGGTATACTATACCCTCCGGTGTAGCTCAAGGCTCTTTGCTTGGGCCGTTGCTTTTTAATATTTATGTTAACGATATTAATGCCTGTTTCACCCACTCACGTTTTCTATTATATGCGGACGATATAAATTTCTAGTCATGACTGTCATCTCTTACAACAGGACCTGGACAACTTCGAAAAATACTGTATAAATAACAAGTTAGATCTGAATGTCTCCAAATGCTATAGTATTTCGTTTACTCGTAAAAATCTAATAACCAACTATCAATATAAGCTTAACAGGACTGAACTTAAGAAAGTTAATGAAATCCGAGATCTAGGGGTTATTCACGACAGCAAACTGACATATGAAAAACATATTGATTGTATCACTAAAAAGCTTACCAATCGTTAGGTTTTATTATAAGATCATGTTCTCAGTTTTCCAGTATAAAAGTTGCTAAAATACTATACTGTTCATACGTGCGTAGCTACCTTGAGTACTGTTTGCAGATATGGAACCCACAATATGGAAATTATATTGATAGGTTAGAAAGAATACAACGAAAGTTTCTTAAGTACTTTTACAGTACAGGTGTAGAGGTTATGAAACGGATTACGACGCGAGGTGTGGGAAACGTCATATCTTACCTCTTGTGGAGAGACGGAATATTATCGATATAGTCACGTTAGTTAAATTATCACAATCTCTTATGGATGCTCCATTACTCCTCTCTCTAATAAATTTTAGAGTTCCAACAAAAGGTACAAGACACCACAACAGTCTCAGTGTCCCGTTTTATAACACAAATTGTAGGAAAAACTCATTTTTTGTATGCTCACCAAAAAGTTTTAATAATTTGGTGAATTTCACGCTTGACATTTTTAATAGTATACCGACTACTTTCAGACAACGTCTGAGTAGTGAATGGTTTGATGCAATTCCTTAGCTAAAGGTAGTCCTTAGTTTTTCCTGATTGTTCCTCATATGTCTTATATATATATTGTTAATTTAAATAAGTTCATAAGTGTCTATATGCGAAAACTGCTTACTATGTACATTTATATCATATTTAGTTATTACATTAGTTATATCTTTACTGTATGTTTTCCAAAGAAAATAAAATAAATAAACGTATCAAGCTGTAATATGTGATCGCCAAATGTCATCACAAATATTAAAAATGATCTAATGAAATTGAAAATAGTTTTGATAGTGAGTCGTATATGTGCGAACGTATCGCCATACTATATCTATACTAATATTAAAATAAAGAGGTATTTGATTATTTGTGTGCATTGATTATTAATTATTTTCCAAAACTACTGGAGCGAATAAAAAATTATTTCACTTATGAGAAATATACATACTATAAAACCATACGCGGGTGACAAAGACTATAATTTACTAGGATGGATTCGCGGATAATTATAATACGCGACACATAACTTTGTGGCCTTAAAGTTACTTATATCATGTTCCCCTTCCCACCCGCGTGCAACCTAAAACTTTTTATTCAGTTTGGCATTAACGTCGCCACTTGTGACTAACTCCACTGATACAGTTATATTAAAAAGTATTTTATTCATTTTATGTTTTAGTGATGTCACCCGGCACTTTAGTAGTGTCAACTTACGCACCTTGTCCGAATATCACGGTCAAAATTGAGCCAGCACTCAGAGAAGAAGGGTCTGCTCTCGTTTATGTACCAGTATCATCAGGAAAATACCGGTATGTGACAATAGATGGAAATGTATTCAACCCCATTATCGCCATTAGTTATTGTAATTGCAAACATATTGTTTAGTTATAAGTTAAAAATTTAAGTAGATAAATCAGTGGCGGACTAAGGGTTGGAGCGGAGGGGGTGGTCCGCCCCGGGCCTCTTATCCTGGGGGGCCTCCAAATGGCTGAAAGTTCCCTTGATCAAATCATAAATTGGGGTTGCACTGCCTTATCTTTCTTAGTTTCGTAGTTTTAGCAGGCGTCTTAGCAGGGAGGCGGTGTATACACAAAATCAAGTTTCTGCATCAGTTGTAAAAAGTTGTAGGTACGGATCTAATGCCGCCCCGGGCCCCCGACAGGGTTAGTCCGCCACTGAGATAAATATATCAATTTTTTTTTAATATTTTTCAATCCAATCTATAGGGTTCAAGATCCAATGTTTTTCATTTGAATTTGAAAATGACAATTCATTTCAATCATAATTTCTTTTATCATAAACTTTTACCACAGTTATTATTATACTAATAATAACATCAACTATATTATTCATAAAAATATTTGCATTAATTTTATAAAAATTATGCTTATGTTTTAATTCACTTAGGTAATATTTCTTGAAAGCAATGTTAATCGTTATAGACTTGGAGGGTCAGCACTAGCCCAGTGCTATAAGCAATTGGGAGACATTACGCCAGATCTAGATAATCCAACGGTATTAAAATCTATTTTTAAGACTACACAGGCATTGTTAAAAGGTATGGTAGTGTCTCTTAACATATAACTTTGTAACATTAATGTTGATGTATATATAATTATTTTATTTTGTTACTCTCTGTTATAGAAAAGAAACTATTATCTGGTCATGATGTCAGTGAAGGAGGTTTTGTAACAACTGTGTTGGAAATGGGAATCGGAGGTCTTCGTGGTTTGGCCATAGACATGAAAGTAGAGACTAATGTATCAGTCATAGAGGCACTGTTCAATGAAGAATTGGGAATAGTGGTCGAAGTTGCCCAGAAGGATTTGAGATATGTGCTTGGAGAGTATCAAAAGAATGGTGTGAATGCTAAACATATAGGTAGCACCGGCAAATATGGAACGAATTCTATGGTAAGGTCCATATAAGTTTTTCTAATGGCATTTCATTACCATAAATCTGAGGAATAATTTAGATATTGGGCTCGAAGGACGATGTTTATGACACGATTGGCAAATAATCGTAATCATAAAATTTGTTGTCATTTTCTTGCACTAATACAGTGTTGCTTTCAATTTTGAGTAATAATATGACATATAGTGATAGTGACAGAAAAAATCTTTCATGAAGTTTATGAAAAATAATATACTTTATAGGTTACAATAAAAGTGAACGGCACAGAAGTTCTGAACACACGCTTAATAGACATTTTTAAAATGTGGGAAGAAACTAGCTATCAATTGGAATGCTTGCAAGCCAATTCTGACTGCATCAGAGAAGAATGGAAAGGTTGGAAATTTTTCATTTATGAAACAACATTCACATCTTTAATTTAACAAAAATTTTATTAAACATGAGGGTTGATGTGGATTAAAAATAAGCTTTATAATATGTATCTTATTTACGTTATTAATTTAGATTTAATGGTCACTACGCCTATACATTTAACTGAGTAATAATCTATCAAGTTTTATTCAAGGAAGTATTTAAAAAAAGAAAGCACTAAAAACGCACTAGATGGCGACTCTAGCAAAAGTTGATTTTTGCAGGAAACAAATGGACCAAAGATAGTCATTTCCTTTTGACTAACATATTAAAAAACTGAAATTCGCAAAGTTCAAACATGATATGAGTTGTTTATTGAGTTTTGAAAATTAATTTACTTTTATACATGAAAGAAAACCGGAACGGTCATGGAGAAATGAAAGTACCGTAACGACATCTAGTTTGATTTCGGGAACTAATGCTTTTTTTAATACTTCCCCACTATAACTATAATACTATATACTCTATAACTCGTCATTTATTGAATTGAAAATATTTAATGTAGGATTGAGTTGGGTTATAAATTATTTTTTTAGTGCAGTTTGAGACATTCTTAATTATAAATTCTCAATTAAGGTACCGTTTGATCTGCAGATTACATAAAATTTGTATCTCGTCTATAAAGTTTTTGAGACAACTTTAGAGTTTAAATATATCTCCTGTCTAGGTCTTGAGAAACGCAAAGGAGCGACGTACACAGTCACATTCGATCCATCTGCAGCGATTGTGAAAACTAAATCGACAAAAGTAGCAGTACTTCGAGAGGAAGGTAGGTACTTTTCAAAATTATGGTATGACAACGCCATATTACAAAGATCACATGTCACAAGTTTTGATATCAATCTTATTATCATAATCCTATTAATTAATCTATAATATATAAAGCTTATTAATATATTATAAATGTGAAAGTTTTTTTGTTTGGATATTTGTCCGTCAATCACACCGAAATTGATTACACTTTTGATGAAATTTGGTATACAGTTAGGGTATTGGCTGACTTAGATAATAGGATACTTTTTATCCCACTAAACATTATCGGGTACCCCATGTGAGGGTACACTGTCGGGTTTTCAGTGGATAGGTTTTTGTGTCCATTGATTGGGCAGCTCAACGGCTGAAGCAATCGCCCGGATTGCAAAAGATTATGGGTTAAAGTCCCGTCTTGGAATACTTAGGACTGGTGAATTATTAAGTATTTCTCTTTAAAGAAAAAAAGCTAGTGTCGAATTAAAGAATAAATTTATTTAAACGCGTATTTTAGGTACAAATGGTGATAGAGAAATGATTGCTGCTCTCATGATGTCCAACTTTGATGTGTTTGATGTCACCATGAGCGACTTGCAGGGCAAGAAAATAACTTTGGATGCGTTCCAGGGTTTAGTATTTCCAGGAGGTTTTAGCTATGCAGGTAAGATATTCAATTTCATAGATTTGAAACTAACTCAAAATAAAATAATATAATGTTAATTATAATTGATTTCGAATTGTAATTCTTACCGATACTTATTATCATAACTTTCATAAGTGTGTTAAAACATCTGCCAAGATTGAGTTGAACTCACATGAAATTTTTATTTAACACTAACTAGTCTGTGTCTATCTATGACTGTCAGTAGTCTGTGTGAATATATACCGCTTACTATTTTCATAAATCATGTTTTGTTATAAAAATCCCAACATATTTTAAAAATCAGTGTACCTGATCACAGCAAACCGGAAATATAAACACTTTTTGTTTATATTGTAACAGATACACTTGGTTCTGCAAAAGGATGGGCAGCTGGCATATTGTTTTCCGATTCACTGAGTGCCCAGTTTTCTAACTTCAAGAACAGGTCGGACACATTTTCATTGGGCGTTTGCAATGGCTGCCAACTAATGGCCCTCCTCGGTTGGATCGATCCAGAGACTAACACAAATACTGTAGACAAAACTCAATTGTTCCTTGACCACAATAGTTCTGAAAGGTAATTTTCCATGTATGTTAGTCAATATAAAAAAAACATTGAATACATTTTACACACCACAAAAATATCATGTTTAGTAATAGGTGAAGTCGTAAATCTTTCTTACGTATAATACAATAGCGCTCACAAGAGTGGACTGAACGCAAAAATTAAAATGGAACGTTACACATTTATTAGTTTTGGCTGTCAGTAGATGGCGTTACCCGAGTAGCTTGATGGCGTAGTCGATAAGCGCTGCGGCCTGCGATCGGTATTGTTATGCAACTTCCGAAAGAGTCGGTCAAGGATGGGTGACCAAAAATTATTATCTTTAGCTACTTCGTGCTTCGGAACGCTCGTCAAGCCTATGGTCCCGGCCGTATTTGCTATCGTTTATACCGTTCAATTTGCCCATGGCCCATCTTTATTAAACATCCATAAGGCCTGAGTCTCTGCAGTGGGGACGTGAAAGGGCTTATGATGATGATGATGATGAGCTTCTACCTACAATACTTGCCTTTCCTATAAGTCTTTGTTATTTCCTAGATTCGAATGCCGTTGGAGTGCGGTAAAGATAACCGAAGATAAGAGTAGACCGGACGTATGGTTCCGTGGGATGGGTGGCAGCGTGTTAGGAGTGTGGGTAGCTCACGGAGAGGGTAGATTCTCTGTGTCCGAGCGGCAAGTTTTAGATAAAGTTCGTAGCAATGGTCAAATCGCTATGCAGTACGTGGATGATGATGGCAACCCAACTGAGATCTACCCGATGAACCCTAACGGCAGTCCTGGTAAGTTTCCTAATAATATGTAGAAAAATAAGGTGATTGCAACATGTTAATTAATAAAAAAATTGCTTTCAATTACACTTATAATAAGACTCTTTAAACTCTTAGTATAGTCGTACTATATTAATGATTTATATTAGGTATGGTTGGATAATGGTACCGAAAGAAGTGAGAGAGTGAGGGGGAGAGGGTAACAGAGAGGAAGAGAGAAAAAAGAGAAAAGGGGGAAGAGGAGAGGATAGACAAGAACGGAGAGAGAGACTGGTTCTTTCTGCATGTCAATTTCAAGTTGTCTGTCACCACCTTTGTGGTGTCTGATTCGAGTATTACTTTGCAGGTTCTGAATGGTTATTTTTTCTGATTTCCATATCACGCTACATTTGAAAATATATGTATTATTATTTACAGCTGGCATTGCTGGCGTAAGATCAGTCGATGGACGTCACATTGCCATGATGCCGCATCCTGAACGTTGCGTACTTCGTTGGCAGTGTCCTTCTCAGCCTCCACTTTACGCAAATCAAGCTGATCCTAACAGTCAAATATCACCTTGGCTCAGACTCTTCCAGAACGCTTACACTTGGTCTTCCCAACAATAGACGTTGCTAATGCAATGTTATTAAAACACTTTATGCTTTTGTGATTCTAATTGACATATGAAGTTCCTTATGTTATGTTATGAAGTTCCTTATTTGCTGTAGTCATTTTTACATATTATGGGTACGGTGAGGTTTCGTGTTTGAAGTTTTAATGATGTGGTAATGGAAAAATATATTAACAAAATTCGATATTATTGACTTCATTTCGAATAGAGATGATCGATTGAGGTCATTATTTAAAACAGATTTTATAGAAATATATGTTTATCAAGGAGATGAAACCTAGTCAGATAAATATTTTCAAAATATTATCATTGTTAAATTTAATTGTTACGACAACAATAATAAAAAAAATATATAGAAAATGATATACAAATACATATTTTGATAAAAACAATTTTATTAATTCAATCCCTTTTCTAAAAGGGTTTCTTTTTTAAGCTTGAAGCTTTCAGTAATCATGGCTATTATAAATTTATACACAGTCAAACTATTTTTTATAACGATGATTTTTAATTATTTGGAAATACAAATTGCATGAAATAGATATGATAACAAACGTCACGGTTCCCTTATTATGTGAAACGGGCTATAGCGATAATTATTATTGTATACATTAGAAGGTTACAAAAACCTCAATTGCCATTTATAAAGCTACGATAAATTTTCGATTTTAGGACATTCAATAGGGATTAATAACGTTAGTAAACCTTAAAGGTCGTTTGTGCAATTGAAAAATGAATTTTATATTGTCCGGTTAATCTTACCAATTATAAAGGTGTTTTTTTTTTAATTGAAACAGTGCTGTCGGACATTTGGATTGCTTTGCTTTTAGGCTAATTTTATATAAAAGTTATAAACTTCCTCAAAAATACAAGGGAAGATATGGCACCAGCTCTTTGTTAATGCTCGCTACAAATTAGGTACGCGTACATAATTTCACTTGTTATTTTTGGTATGTTCAATCACTCGCAAGATGAACACAATCGCTTAGAACAAAAACATTAGCGAGATTCAGTGGAAAAAGGCTGGGCGTGCCATTAAAATCCGTAGAAATAATTCAAGAACAAAATATTAATACTTAAATACACATTTAAATACATGAATACAAAATGTATGTAGTAACTTAGAGGCTCCTTATTTAATAAAAGATGTCTTTAAAGAGGCGAGTATACATACGCCGCAACTTTATCTGAGTAGTTTCTGATATCTTCTAATTTAAATATTCGTATTTTATAGCATATAAGAAAAACATTCCTTTCTCGAATCAAATAATACATCTCATTCCAATGGCTAATTTTAATGTCAGATAAGACTGAAAAAAATTATGCAATAATTTGTGATTGTTACATGTCTTCCAGTGTTTTTTGTTTCTTTTGTATTAATATTGCAATAAAACATTAGCTCTATACCGTTCCGTTTGCGGAATAGGGTTCCACTGTGTTGTTAAATGTTGATCTAAACAACTTTATTGTTTTAAAAAAATATATATTTCAAATAATGAAACTACAGTGAGTTTATTCTCTGTCACATGAATGAATTTTTATGAAGACTGATAGAGATCTATATTTTTAAGTGTAAAAATGTTTGTTAACATGTATATGCATTTTAATATAAATATATTTTTGCATGAAAAAAGCTGTATAATTTTATTATATTCGATCAATTTAGCATTCAAAATGCTATACTGGAAATCATTTTGCGATCAAGTTAAACACCGTTTCCTTTCCAGAACATGAGTATTTATCATAATTTACACTTTTATTTAATATATCCATTATACAACTTCCTTTATATCCCTTATTTAAGATATATCTGTTCTTTATTTTACATGTTGCACCCATTATTTATCTATTTTCCTCTATAGGAAGCCTGGAAGATATTGCTATGTAGCAATAAGGCCGCCTTTTTTGTATACTTTTGTTTTTCTCAAGCTGTGTAATTTTTTACTCGTCTTGTGTGTGCAATAAAGAATATTATTATTATTCTTAATGAAAAATGCTTAATAAATGATTTTTTTTTTAGCATTTTTCATTAGGAATATTTTCTTGTATAATTTTGTTATATTTTTTGACACTACAGTAGAGACTATTATAAATACGCATTAAATGTGTAACTCCTGCCGAATTCCATTAGCAGAAAGCAAACTTTCCTGATGGTAAAATTAAAGCTAACACACAATATCTTATAATAAAGCTAACATGACACTTATGCTCAACTACAATTCAGCAGGCATTACATATTTGAATTTGATTCATAATTATTCTGATTCTAGATTTAACCCAACTGTAAAAACTCGGAAACAACCCGCTGTCAAAAAGAAGAACAGTAATTCGTCTCAATAATATGAGACTGGAATAGTCAGAGCGGTAGATACTTTGGAGATTTGTAGTTAAAATTATTTGCGTAATTTATTCCACTTCATGCTACCCTATTTTATGAATTCCTGCTAAAATTGTAAACATTTTAAAAGAATAAGCTTCTAAAAGTTTAGAAGATATAATGTGACGCTTCTGGATTGATGCCAGCTCAGCAGCACCTCATTATATCTCAATTATCAAATCAAATCAAAGTTTTTTGGAATTCATTATAAGTACACAGTTCTAGTCAGCCAGACCAACATTAGCCCAGCAGCGCCACAAAGATTCTCTTTTGTCTCTGAAACTGGACTAGATGAATCAAGAATTCATTTTGAAATCGAAGAGGGTGGTGCTGCCTGCCTCACACACACCTAATTGGATTGAGAATGCATTTCAAAACCCAAGAAGTTGTCGCTGCCAGCCTGATGGACACCTAGTATTTACAATATAAATAATATAGCTTGTTTTAAAATAAAAATAAAAGAAATATGTATAAACAATTGTTTGATGATGCTGATTACATGCACAATAAAAAGGCAAACAATACTGTTATGAAAATGATTTACAATACCTAATGCCTTATTATTTTTTTCTTATTAAGCTCAAATTATCACAGAGTATAAAGAAAAATGAAAAACTTAAATAGAAATTATTAGATTTATAGATTAATGTACAGGGTTCTTTATAAAATAGCAGTACTCTGTACTGGATAATCAATATCTTATAATACATTTTATCTTTGAGTTTAACAACACAATACTTTGAACAAAAATAATTTTTCATGTTCATGTAGTGTTACCAGTTTTATCCATAAAAAAAACTAGCCAATCTAAATGGAGCCTCAGGGCTACAGAGGCCCATAACATGTGTATGCAATAATTTACCCTTCAATTGGGCCCTCCAACTAATTTTAATACAGAGGGGGCTCTGTGGTATAGCCACGCTATACCACTGTTTGTATCATGGATGATAATAAGTTAATTTTAACTCATTATCAGTAACAAAAAAATTAATTTCTATTATGATCTTATATTATACAATGTTAGCTATACTATCTAGTAATGCAAGGATGTTAGTGTTTTACAACTAACCCTGTATATACCTACTGCTATAAAATATCTTATATAAAATTAAAATCAAATTGTTATGACATACTCCTTGTGATTGTGGATTAAATTTTTGGTTATTACCTAAAGCAGTCAGCAACCTACAGCTTGCTACTTCCAGTTTTTGTATTTTTTTACTGTGAAACACTATAAATTGTAAACTTATAGTTACCCATAGTTCAGGAAGAATACTATAATAAAATTGAGATATAAGACCATAACTGAGAGAAATTTTCAAAGCTGTTTATTTTAAATCAAATCTCAAATATAATATAAATATTAAAACTATATCTATCAATGGGGTCTTTAAAAATTTTTTTTTGGCTCTTCTTTACAAGGTTGCTGATCCCTGATCTAGACTAAATTTTACTTTGTATAATGTAAAAAAGAAATCATATATTCATAACAGATATTTTTTTAATTTTCTTACACAAATCCTTTCGCCTGCTAGATTCTAAAGCTTCACATATGTCGTAAAACCAAGTTTTAGAATCTGCTTTTGTTTCCAAATATATTTCCAATACTTGTTTTGCTTTCATGGGTACCTTTCTATAATCTTCATTAATTTCATCAATTGTATTTTCTTTGATGCCTAAGCTTCGTCCAAAGTCTTTCCAAAATACACCAATATCTTCTATAATTGTTTGTTTAATTCTTTGTACCTTTTTTTCACTCATTGTTGTGTTTAAATTATTAGTAACAAAGCTTTCAACTGGTGCTCGATGTGACTGTTGTGGTAAGTGTTCGGAAGCTGCAACAAGCAATTGCTGTCTGAATATTTATCCAAAGTATCATCTGATTTAAAATTACAGTTTATATATATATAGTATATTAATAAGTTTTCTGAATGTTAGAGCTGGGCATGAAGGTTTTACGCTTCATAGAGTAACACCACTACTGGTTGCTTAGTAACTTTGTTAATAACAGCTATGTATTAAAATTGTATCAATTATCGTATTACACAAAACTAACTGAATTTATGTTAATGTTTTATTAAACCTCATACTGAATATGTGATGAAATCATGTTTGATGTAAGGTAAAAGATAAAGTAAAAAATAGACAAGGTCAAAAAAGAAAGTACAACATTATAATGTTAACTTACCATAATAGTTTATAGGTTCTACTGGAACATGAGACTGCTCGTATTCTATAATTCTTTGTAACAGTCTGCTATTACTCGGTAATCTGTGCACAATATCCTTCAATGGCTGGATATTATTTTCAGATAATGCATCTCTTATTTCTAGTATTCTTAATAACTGACCGATTGTTGTTATCTCTTCAAATCTTCTAGGAGAATTGATCTTCTCTCTGAATAATTCTTTTAGAGAGCTTAATAGCTGACCGTGTCGTTCATTTTCACTAAAGCTTTTAATAACCTGTTCTCTGAGATGGGAATATTCCGATAAAGTCATTTTTCACTCGATTCACTTATTTAAAGTTCTGTTTGCAAAAAAATCTATATACTTATATTTAATATAAACTTTAATAAGTTTTTAAGTAATATAATGACTAACGTGCGAGTGTGACTGGTGACTGACAGACAACACAACAACACAAAGATGTCACGTTCCAATTGCCGCACTGATTTTGAAAAATAACAATAATATGAACTTTAAAATATTTCTCATCTCTCATTAATAACGTTTTTTATCAAATTGCGCTAGTTTTGAATGTTAAATCTTCTGGAGAATTGATATAATACTAATATAGTGATGGAATGTTCTGATAGTCAGGGAAAATGGTTTGCAGAGTATGTGTGAAATGGAATGGGCGATATTCGTTTTTTATCCGGGAAATTCCCTGTCATAAACAATTACATAGGGTATGTTCCGATATACACTGCGACCACTGAACAGTATGACGTCAATTTAGTATACTGGAAGCCCGTTCCTTTATAGCTAGTTATACTGGTGACTTTTTAAAACGGAACGCAGTCCAGTATACTGTTAATCCTATTTTTAGGCGCCATTTTCAAATTTGTTAATGCAAGGTGAATATAAATATAAAGATTCCCTCTTTTCAAAAGAAAATATTATAAAATTGGAAAATTGTATAAAAAAAATATTTATCCATCTTATAATAAACGTAAGTATTTTTTTTTGTTTATTTAGAAACTTATCATTTTCTGATTCTGTTTCGACTGATCACGTGATCAAAAGCACTGCGAGCACCTTACCTCGAAATCTCCAGTGCTCACAGTACAAATATGGCGGCAATTTATGACGTCATAAATTTCCCTAGGGTACTGTAGCAGTGTACTGGCAGTCCATAACGGAACGGATTTTTCAGCAGTAAGACCACTGCGCAGTGCTCGCAGTGTATATCGGAACATACCCATAGTTTTGTTTTATATTTACGATATAAAATATATTTAGGCTTGTCGTCAGACAAATTACAAAGTGAATTCTTTTTGTGATGTTGATCGAGAATCACTGTAAAAAATACAAGAGGACAAAATTCATTAATTTCGAATTTTAGTGTGAATAAAAAAAAATTGATTAAATTTTAGAATTGATTATTTAAAAAAGAGAATAAATTTAAGTATAGGTATTTTCAATTTCCTCTTGTAAAATTTGTAAAATAAAGTTAGGAAAAATTAAAATCAATTATAATATTCATATTTTATATGTACTCGAAATAAATTTCAATTATGGGACTTTTAGGGTTAGCCGCCGTGCCCTGATTTCCTTATATTATCTTTATGTGAACTGCTTCGGTTTGGTTTTATATTGAATTTATAAAACCGCAATAAAGAAGAGTCTCTAAGTAATCTTTCATTAAGTTTTGCAACCAGTAATAACGTAAATATAATAATTATATTTACACTGATGAAAACAACAAGACTGACGGAGGATAGCTTATTACGAAGTTATGACACACTAACTTATTTATTCGTATGATTCTAGTCCCTTGCAAGTTACATGATAAAAGGTCATTGTCAAATAACAATTGTAAACTATCATAATAATGTAAGTTTATACTTACTTAATTATATTTACCTAATAACTCTGTTATCTGGCCAAAGAAGCATTGTGACCTCTCTATCAGTAGCCACGTAGCTCTAGTTGTCGAAAGACATTAAAATGCTTACGATTGTTTTATAAAATTAAAATATCTCGTATATTTAAAAACATGAATCGCTTTTTAAAGCAAAGAGTTCTGTTGAAGAAATCAGTAAATAATATTAGTAATGCCAAAAATTTTACTTTCAAACAAACCAATGTAAGATGTATTGCTACTAAGGGATCGTATTCTGACAATTTGTTCCCGGAGAGAGCGGATTTCGCAGGGAGACATATTGGGCCTCGTGATCAAGATGTCGTTACTATGCTGGATTTATTAGGATACAAGGTTCGTATAATTAATTTTTTCAACATTGCAATAAGAAAGTTTGCAAAAGTTCTAAGTGAATATGGTATCTTACTTATTATAGAGCTTAGACCAACTAACAAATGATGCTGTCCCGAAAAAAATTCAACTACAAGGACTAATGGATATCAGTGAACCAATGAGTAAGTTATATTGCCAATTTTGATAAACCTATTTAATATCTAAAGATGTTGAAGGAACAAGTATTTTGAAGTAATTTTTGTAATTATACTTACGAATAGAACTGATTGAACTTTTATGAAAATTGGAATTAAAAAATGTAATATCGGTCGGTGCTGGACAAATTTAATATATGCCCTGTTAATTTTTAGGCGAATATGATCTTATAGAGCGAGTACGCAAAATAGCTGAAAGCAATCAAATATGGAGATCTTACATTGGCATGGGATACCATAATTGTTGCGTACCACATACCATCATGCGGAATTTGTTTGAAAATCCTGGGTGGTAAGTTTTTTAATTCGTGCGCACGATCGTATATTATACCAACAGGCGTAGCGTTTAATTTTAATTTAAAGCATTCTTTAAGGATCCAAAGTGTGTAACGGGATCCATTTTCTAAGACTTCGCTGTCCGTCCGCCCGTCTGTCACCAGGCTTTATCTCATGAACCGTGATAGTTGAAATTTCCACAGATGATGTACTTCTGTAGCCGCTATAACAACAAATACTAAAAAAACAGAATAAAATAAAATATCTATGGGGTCTCCAATACAACGGACATTATTTTTTTACATTAATCGCTCCTTTAACTCCAAAAAGGTTTCCTGCAGTTCATCGAACTGCTTAAATTGCTCGTCGGTTTTTATGGTGCACTACTTATATTTATTAATGGTTGCTCTCTGCTATATCTCAACTCGTTTAAGGACGACGCAGTATACCCCTTATCAACCAGAAGTGGCTCAAGGGCGATTGGAAAGCCTGCTTAATTACCAAACGATGGTCAGTGATTTGACAGGATTAGATGTAGCCAATGCTTCTCTATTAGATGAAGGCACAGCTGCTGCAGAGGCTTTATCATTGTGCCATAGGTAATATTTGTTATAATTTATTTGTAAATCATTTTAGTTAGTTAACACATTCAATATGGAGAATAACCCACGATACCCCACGCGGGCCCAGTGCGGATTGGTGGGTGTTTACGACTGTAGATGTATCGTGGACTCGAATAATAAATTTTGTTCACCCATCCTTTGGCCGGCCATTTCAAAGTTGCTTAATAACCTTATCGCAGACCGAGCGCGCTAACCACTGCTCCTCAGAGTTTTTACAATGTGATATTCAATTCATTTATTTACGTAGAATAATAATATTGATTTGTGTAGACTAATTTTTTTTAACCCATAATTAATAGATTCGATAATTTGACTTTAATTTACATTTTATCTGATGGCAATTACAAATGGTTCTATTAAATTGTAAGCAAATAGTAAAACGACATCAATTAAGAGCCCTATTTCAAATACAAATGAACTCGTTACATGGCCGAACACTTTGAGCTCGGTCGGCCCCTTGCATCGCAATTTGTACTTACATTTATCGTATATATTAAAATAGGAAAATAAATTTGTGCTTTAATATTATTTCTTATTAAGCAAAATTATTATTTTGGTACAATTTTTTCATTATCGAAGATAGGAGAAATTCACAATTAAGTTGTACTGTCTTCGAATATTTTTGATTTATAAGTAATTACATTTTTGAATTATATCTATTTATTCAATAATATGTCAAAATTCCGAGACTACTGCGAGCTATTCGACTATATAATACGTAACTTTTTTATATCAATTTATTTAGCTCAATTGAGAATGAGCTCCTGTGTATTGAAAAGTGCCGTCGCGAATTTTATTTCTGCACTATTCAATAAGTCAAAATTATTAACATATTTTTGATTCCGAGATCAAGAACGCCATTTTGACCATTTTACACAAAAATCACAGTCCAAATGTAATTGGGCTCTTAAGATCATCAAAGGAACAATATCGATATTTCATAACAATTATTGCAGGCATAACAAAAGAACAAAGTTTGTTGTATCAGAACGTCTTCATCCACAAACATTGGCAGTCGTCCAAACTCGTCTCGATGCTCTTGGTTTAGAAGTGATGGTAGTACCAGACGTACGTCAAGTTGACTTTGCTCAAAGGGATATATCCGCTGTACTCCTTCAATGTCCTGACACTAGAGGTTTAGTATACGATTACTCTGCGTTAGCAGCTGGCGCGCAAGAGCATGGTGTAAGTCATGAACAGAAAACAAATGAAATTAATAACTAAGATTATATTGTGATTATATACTTAAAATAATACTTCTTCATTTTAGACTTTGGTAGTTGTAGCGACGGATCTATTAGCACTAGCATTATTAAGACCACCAGCAGAGAGTGGTGCGGCCCTTGCAGTTGGAACCTCTCAACGCTTAGGGGTACCACTAGGATATGGAGGACCACACGCAGGATTTTTCGCTGCAGAACATCCTCTTGTGCGTTTGATGCCTGGACGTATGGTTGGAGTCACTAGGGATATAACTGGAAGAGACGCTTATAGGTATGTTAAATGCAGCTATTTAAAAATGTTTTTAGTATGTAATTAGTTTTTGATATAAAATACTTTTCCAGATTAGCACTTCAAACAAGAGAACAACATATTCGGCGTGATAAAGCCACTTCCAACATTTGTACTGCACAAGCTCTTTTAGCAAATATGTCAGCCATGTATGCAGTATATCATGGACCTCAAGGTCTAAGAGATATTGCTACTCGAGTGCATAATTCCACACTCGTGCTGGATCATGGTAAATCAATAAAACTTACTTGTTTAAAGAATTATATATGTCTATGTAAAAATATAAAAAATTCTTACTGAAAATAACAATAATATTTATAGGAATAAGACAACGTGGTCATAAACAAAGTAACGACGTATTTTTCGATACCTTACATATTATTCCACTGCCTGAGCATAACGCTAGTGATATAAAAGCTCGAGCACAAGAGAGGAAAATAAATTTGAGGTACTTTGACGATGGAGCTATTGGTGTAGCGTTAGATGAAACAACAACCAAGGAAGATGTCGATGATTTGCTGTGGATATTTGATTGTAAAAATGTTGAGGAGGTAATATATTTTAGTGAAACTATTCAAAATTTACACTGATTTCTTCGCTAAGAAAATAACAATAGAAAATTTTATGCAGGTAATGAAAAGCGATGAAGTTACAACGCGAAGTATAGTTAAAGGACCCTTTAGGAGGACGTCACCGTATCTCACGCATCCAGTTTTCAACATGCACCATTCTGAAACTAGAATAGTTAGATATATGAAACGTCTCGAAAACAAAGATGTATCTTTGGTACACTCAATGATACCTTTGGTAAGATAAAGAATAATCTCTACATTTATGTTGTTCTTTAAATTATATTCCCTATGTATATAATTAATAATTCTTACACAGGGTTCATGTACCATGAAATTGAACTCTACGACTGAAATGATGCCGTGTTCCTTTAAACACTTTACTGATATCCATCCATTTGCGCCACTTGAACAATGTCAAGGATACCATACGCTTTTTGAAGAGCTTGCAAGTGATTTGTGCGCTATTACTGGATATGACCGAGTTTCATTTCAACCAAATAGGTATATATTTTGTAACATTATTCTTAAAACTCTACCTAAGTTACCTGATTTTAACGCTAAAAATTAAAGCGTAAATGTTAGTCATACATCTCTTAGCTTTAAGTATCTTTGAAGAATATTATAATAATTAAGACGTTTTTATGTTAAAGCGGAGCTCAGGGAGAATATGCAGGATTAAGAACAATCAAACGTTATCATGAGTTTCGGGGTGACACTGGGCGTAATATATGTCTTATTCCTGTGAGTGCACACGGAACGAACCCTGCATCTGCGCATATGGCTGGAATGCGTGTCTGTGCGATACGAGTTACGCCATCTGGCGATATCGATATGGAGCATCTTAAAGATATGGTAAGAAAGACTTACCTAAGTAAAGTCCTTTTACATTTTCATGTCTACAAAAGCGAATCTAGTGTATTTCCCTCTTTCTCTGCAGAATATCGGTATATATGACTTTAAGATAGTGCGAATCCTGATTGAGCAATAGATGTTAAGCCGTAGTTTCACTCGACATATCTGACAGTATTATTACCTATATTTTTCAATAACATACGTTTTTAATTTTAGGTAGAAGAGCATAGTGCAAAGTTATCTTGCCTTATGCTTACATATCCTAGTACATTCGGAGTGTTTGAAGAGAGAGCCGCAGACGTGTGCGCGTTAGTGCATGCACATGGTGGCCAAGTATATTTAGATGGCGCCAATATGAATGCACAGGTTTGAAAAAGAAATGGAAATTGTTCATTTGAAGATATTAACACATATCTGTATTGTTATGTGATTTTTTTATTTTATAGGTGGGATTGTGTCGCCCTGGTGATTATGGAAGTGACGTATCACATTTGAATTTACATAAGACCTTCTGTATACCTCATGGCGGTGGTGGTCCTGGAATGGGACCTATTGGAGTGTAAGTGATTTTCTGGACTTTGGTACCAGTAGGCATATAAAAAGTCACTTAAGCAGGCAGTTAAAAAACCATTAAAAATAAAAAAATGCCATCTTAAAATAACCATAGATTATAAACGCTATCAACAAGCCAAAGTTAAAATCGATTTATGTTTTATGATCAAATTAGGAAGGCACACTTGGCACCATTCCTTCCATCACATCCAGTGGTTGATCCCTTAGCAGATCTGGGAGATGCCGCACACAGCTTCGGTTCTGTCAGTGCCGCCCCATTTGGATCATCTGCTATTCTGCCCATATCCTGGGCATATATAAAGGTAAAGTAAAAAGCTCCTATACGGCTATTATTCTAAATATAAACTACTTACCATCCTGTGAAGATTGAGACGGCCAAATTTTCACTTCTCTTATTCAATTATATCTACAATAAATCTCATACGCTTATTTAGAAAAAGAGCATTGAGGACTCAACCCTACTTGATACCGCACCGAAGAGTTTTGTGATATTCAAACTGCTCACAACCATCCTAAAAACTACTTAAATAAATATATTATTATCATATTTTTTTTTGTTACAATGAAAGATTTCAAACCATTCTTATATTTTAGATCATATAAAAATATGTGTCTACGTGAATTACACCAAATAAAATTATTATTATTTATTTCTTGAAGATGATGGGACCAAAAGGTCTGAAACGAGCCACGCAAGTGGCAATACTCAACGCAAACTACATGTCTAGGCGTTTGGAGGGTCACTACAAAACACTATACAAAGGGGAGAGAGGACTTGTAGCACACGAATTCATTATAGACGTGCGAGATCTTAAGAAAACTGCCAACATAGAACCTGGGGATATTGCTAAACGACTAATGGATTTCGGTAAGCATAAAGCAGAATTACATACAAGTAATATCAATGGTTTGTTAGTAGAATAAGGTGATATGTTATTTACATATATGAAATTGAATCAACTTTTTTTAAATTTCTAATTTTAAATAAATCTGAATCCTATTATAAATGCGAAAGTTTGTGAAGATTTATATATGTTTGTTACTTTTTCACGCAAAAACTGATATTATGAACTGATTTTGATGAAATTTGGTAGAAGGATAATTAATAGATAATACAATAAACCTGTACAATCAACTATCATTAAAAAGAATCAATGTCCATTCATGTAGCTGTTTTAAACTATTTTTTTCCGTCACATACAAAGGTATTCTTTCCATTATGTCATAGTTTTATAAGTTACTTTTACATAATTCATATATTTTTTAGGTTTTCATGCACCCACAATGTCATGGCCTGTAGCTGGAACGTTGATGATCGAACCAACAGAATCAGAAGACTTACAGGAGCTAGACAGATTCTGTGAAGCTCTAATTACTATCAGAAAGGAAATAAAGGACATCGAAGATGGACTAATAGACAAGCGGTTGAATCCGCTTAAGGTAAATTAGGTCATATTTCATTACCCTCATTCATAGATGTAATTCGAAAAAATACTAACAAATATTTTAATGTTTAGATGGCGCCACATACTCAAGCCGAGGTGATATCAGAAGACTGGAACCGTCCTTACAGTCGCGAACAGGCGGCATTTCCAGCTGTAAGTTTAATTTGTCTTACTTGAGGCGTATTGCAAGCTATAGTTTGACTGTGACGTCATACAATACACGAAAATTATTAACAAACTAGGTGTGATTTAAGTAATTCTGAAAAATTACTAAATCCAAACGTTATGAAATTCATTAAAAAACTATTTATCTATCACAATCATTTTACTATTAATGACGATATCACGGAACATATACGCATAAATAAACGATAATATCCTCCTTCTCATCATTAATAACCTAAACGATCTTACAACAGCGGTGTACTATTTCAACATGCTTTCGTACTTCTCATTTTGTGTAAGTTTCAGTGCAAATCTGACTGAAGCTTCATCAAGTGACTCACGGAAGTATGCGTTAGTACGAGTAGATTATCTATCGAGTGTGGAAAGTTGAATATCATATCATGTATTTGTAAGTTTTGACACTATAACCGACGATACGCGATGTATCTTTTACACCGACCGACGAATTAAGTTGCATAATATTAAGTTCATTGCCATGTTAAACAGAAGGTGCCGAAAATGTTAGTGTTTGCCTCCTTTGTATTCCATTTCTAAACCTCAAGGAATAAATATTGATAGTAGGGCAAAAAACAATTAACACACTCGTAGAGCAGAAACAGCTCTAACGAATAATTAAAGTAATTAAGTAAGGTTGTAACGGCAAAAAAATTGTTGTAAAAATATGTTATAAAAACGCTACTAAATTATTCCCCAACCTTAATGTTATCGTCTAATTTGAATTTTCAGCCATTTGTAAAGGGAGAAACGAAGATTTGGCCGACGGTTGGAAGAATCGATGATATGTACGGCGATAAACATCTCGTGTGCACTTGCCCTCCTGTTCTCGATGACTTTTGATGAAACCTTATTTAGTTTAAAAAATAAAACAATTGTTCAGGAGTCGCATAATGTATGTATATTTTATCAATATTGTCGTATAATAAATATTGTTTTCTAACAACCCAATCTTTTTTATTCTTTATAGACTTTATATCCTATAGTGACAAACAATTTACATATTTCGCCGTCGGCAATTTGTATCGACTTCAAACAAGTAGACTATCTATTCTTATTAATTATTATAAATATTTAATATTGCGAATGATTAACATTAACAGTTTTAATTGGATTCAAGGCAACATGTCATTTTGTCTCTAGCTCGAAATACTTACATTTGAAATATGAAAAGCTTTCAAACAATCGTCAAAAAAAGCAATTTTCTAATGCAGGTATTTAAATATAATGATAATTATTTATCTAATAATAATATTAATGATAAAATTCATAAAAATGTCGAAGTAGAAAAAGTAATTAAACAACATCACTTCCGAAACGAAGCATAAAATCAATATAAAAATTAACTTTTCACATAATGTAATTCTATCAGATAAATAGTTGCAACTTAACATAGACTTTAAATTTATTTCGGAGGAGAGCTAATAACGTCTTTTGGATACATACCTAACCTAATTCCGAGTTCTTTCGGCATCCGCATAACCGGTCTTGTAGGAAAAGGGTGGTAGGAGCCTGATGAAGGACTACGAGGATAAGATAATGAAGAAAGAGTATCAGTTTCTATGAGAGAAGTAATAGCACTACAAGTATCATCAGAATCTACTATTGTCTTATCACCTTTTTCTGATGATAATTCTCTATGAAATATGGAAGTCTCTTTCGGAAATATTTTTGGAGAAATAGGCGTAGATACTTGATCGAGGGACGCTATCTGACACAACGTATCACTAGAATTACTTTTTATACCTGTCGGTGAGTCATCTTCTGCAGAAGGTTCATAAGTAAAACTAATAGAGGACGTCACTACATGAGCGAAGTCACTAACTTGGCTGTTTTCAGTCTTTGAGTTTTTTTCACAAGCCTTCGGTCCTTGATCGACAGTTTTACTACATATATCACTTGCTTTAGATAATATAAAATCATTGTACTTGCTTGAGAATGAATAGCCATAGTCTTCTGAATTGTACTGAGTTTCATAAGTCGTAGTATCCTTTGGTTCAGTTGAAGGTAAAGTAACCGAAGCTTTTGTTTCTGATAACGAGTGTGTTGTCCATTCAGATGAAGTTGTAGGTCTTAAAACATCATTTTTTGAGGCTTTATCTAATTCTGGTAACTGAACTATTTTCCTTTTATAAGAGAAATCGTAGCTACTATTTTCTTTGTCTAAAATACTTTTATATTCATATTTTGCTAGAAATCCTTTATTTTCCCAACCATATAAATCAGTTTTATTACCTAGACATTCATTACTTGGAGATTTAGAACTTTTTAAAGAAATTTCTTCCCTTGGAATTGCATTCGGTAATTCTAATGAAAGAGGATCGTCGATTGAAATAGGCCTAACTTTGACAAAGTCACATTTTTCTACGGATTCTTTATCCACATTTCTTTTTATATAACCTATTAGTGAATCTGATGTTGACTCCTTAAGTACAGGTGATTCAATTTGTGTGCCTCTTACTGAATTTTCAGAAATATTACTATATGTTATATTATTATCGTAAACAGTTTTATCAAAAGAATCTTCCGATTGACATACTTGAATTTGATTAGTGTCCGTAATATGTTGTTTCGTTAAAATTCTACTTAATATTTTAGAGTTTTCTTGGATGATTTGCAAGGCTCGTTCACTGTTTTTACGTCCTGTTAAAAGAATATAATCTTTTGGTGACACGCTTCCCATTTGCGTTGGTGATTTTATTTGCGAATCGATTCTCTGTAATAATGAATCATTTTCATTTTTTGGACTTTCTGCTTTAACAAATTCCTTATTTTTATCTGGTGTTTTATTTTCTAAATCGGGGCTTGATGACTTTTTACTTACAAAACTATGACTTTGTGGCAATGATGAAGCTCGTTCCATTTCATTTATTGAAATTATGTCATTATGGTTACTGTGAAGTGTTAACGAATCAGGTTTTTTGGGCAGCCTTGAATTTCTTTTGACAGCTCGTCTGTTAGGTATCTCAGAATTATTGGGATCGGTTACACGAGCACCAAAAAACTCAGGGCTGTGCTCAAAATATTTATCTATTTTTAATGGTATTGGTGGTTCATCTTCACTTACAATTATACTTTCAGCTCCCGGACTTCTAACTGGACTTTCTATATCCGATACATTTTTTTCAGACAAATCTATGTCGGGTACAAAATTAGGGTACATAGCAAAACTGTCTATTATATCAGGCGGTCTGTCTAAAATTCTGGAATGAGAAGTAGACTTGAAATTTGTTTCATAATCATAATTATACGGGGAACCAACGTCTATGTTATATTTATTATCAGAAGATAAATCTAAAGGACTCAAATCTGTAAAAGTTTTAGGAGGCTTAGAGAAGTTTTTAGGCCCTAAAGTGTCATCATAATTTGCCTTTTCTTCATATTTCTTATTGCTCAACCTTTGCAAAATATCTTTCTTATCCGTAGTTATATGAGGTGAAAAGGGTGATATACTTTTTAAATGGCTAACAGGTGTAAAATGATCAGAAACTTCAGATACTATAAAATTATCCTTAAGCTTGGTTTCAAAACCATCAATATAAGTTCGCAATGGCTCGCCTGCATCTGAATCTAGATAATCTGTAATATTTTTTACTCCGGTTTCATCAAATGTTTTATCGATTTCTGTTAAATGTTTTGTAATTGTTTCTTTGATAAGAGGAGAATGAATCTGTTTAATATCTTTTAAAATTGGTGCCTGAGAACTATTGTCTTTAGACGCCTGTATTTGTTTGTCTTTATCATCATCAGGTATATCAGGTTCAGAGTCACTAGCTTTTTCATTTTCATCACACAAACTAGTATCTGTACTTGATGCTGTATGTGACGAATATGAAGAAGTTTCACTGGAACTACGTGATCTAAGTGTAGCAATCATTTGACTAGCTTCAAGTTCAGAAACGATTTCTCCATCACCAGCTTCATCCAGATCTATAGACGCTTTTCTTATTTTCTCGGCAGTTTTTGCTTTTTTTATATCTTTCCATTTTACAGAATTTCTCCTACTGAATGTCTTTCTATTTTTTTCCTCGTTCCAGCTAATCGTATCAGTAGATTGCCCACTTGTTTGTTTTTCTACGGTTTCACGTGGACTAGATGCTTGTCTGGATGGTGGAACTGCCCCAGGAGGTGGTCCAAGTCGTCTACCTCGCGAACTTACTATGGCACTTTTCCCCAACAGAAGATTGTTAACTGTGAGTGAAGTCGGTGATGTAGGAACTCCAACTGCAACAGTAAAATGAAAATTATCTAAATACTTAATAAAATATTTTTTAACACCTTTGCTCGTATAGCTGATGTAATTACATTCACAGATTGAGTTTATTTAAAAAAAAAACCGTTTATTCGCTAATTGAAAAACTTGGCTGCATGCTCTAACGTCTTCGCCAACATTTTCACGCAGCTACGGCAGAAAATAATCCTCGCGCCATTTTTCTCAAATTTTCTTTCTTTGTACTTGTATTGTGCATATCTAAAAATGACAACTTTCAATAATGAAGAAGAGCAATATATTACTTCGACTCCACCGGATATACTAACAGAAGCGCGAACCGCGTGCGACAGCTTGCTGCCGTCAATATCCAAAGACAGATACATAACCACGTATGAAAATTTCTTGAAGTGGAAAAACATGAAAAATGCCAAGTCATTTTCCGAAAATATAGTTTTGGCGTATTTTAATGAACTAGCTAGTATATATAAGCCTAGCTCGTTGTTGACAACATATTCTATGCTGAAAAGCACCCTCAAGATGAAAAATGGTGTCGATATTAATTTATATTCAAATCTCATTGCAAGAAAAATCTCTCAATAAAGTGAAAAAAAAATTGCATTTTTAAAGAGACGCTCTGATGGTTTTATAAAGAAAAAATTCTAAGGTACTGTCATCAAATGACATCGAAAAGTTTCTAAGAGATGCTCCAGATAGCCAGTACCTGGCTACAAAGGTCAGTTTGCCTCCTTATTTTATGTATTGATCTACCTACTGTAGATACTCTTTTACATATTTTTTAACGACCGTCTGTAAGCTAAGTACCTATACCTTATCTAACACATTTTTATTTCTTTTTAGGTTGCGTTAATATTTGGTATTAATGGTGCATGTAGACGGCAAGAGCTTCACAATATTACCACAAATGACATTGAAAATCAAGGCAAAATGCTTTTAGTTAAAATCCCAAACACTAAAAACAAAATACCCCGATCTTTTATTATCGACGGCTCATTTTATAACGTGGTCAAAAAATATGAAGCTCTGCGTACGACTAAGGCAAAAATAATCATTTCTTCCAGAATTACCAAAAAGGTAAATGTACTGCGCAACCTATTGGCATAAATAAATTCGGTGCCATGCCAAAGGAAGTCGCCAAGTTTTTAGGATTGCCGGATGCTGATTGTTATACAGGGCACAGTTTCAGAAGAACGTCAGCTACATTACTTGCTGATTCGGGAGCTGATATATTGACTTTAAAGCGGCATGGCGGGTGGCGTTCTAACGCAGTAGCAGAATCTTATGTAGAAGATTCCATCCAAAACAAAGCAAATATAAGTGCCAAAATAACTCAGGCAATAAATATGGAGCCACAAACGAAGAAGTTTTGCACTGAGCCACGCCCCTCTACTTCTACTGATAATATTTTTTTATTTACAACTAATGACGAATTACAATGCTTTTCTTCCGCCTTTCAAGAAGTTTCGTCATCTCCAACATTTACCCTAACACAAAACAATGTCATTATGAATAGTAATAATAATAATAACATAATTTAAAAAAATCCTACAACTACGTATCATTTATATAATTGTAATTTCACTAACTGTTTTAATAATTAAAAATGAACAACATATAAAATGTTTTTTTTTCTGTTTCCTCGCAAATGTGTTAAAAAACGTCGTACGATATACGTGCGTATTGGTTATAACATGCTCGGCTCAATTACGCCCTCGCTTTCGGCTCGGGTTGAAATTCCGCCTCGCATGTTATAACCATCATAACGCACTAATATCGTAATGTACTATTTCAGTGTACGTTTTGTCAAGGTTTTATGAAAATTGGCTGTAGTCGGATAATAATAACCTGCAGCATGCCGGGCACAAGCTGCTGCTAAAATCACATGAGCTTGTCTTTGTCTCTCTCGAAGGCGAGCGTATTGACGCTTAAGTGCTCCTATATCCAATGATAGCCTATCTCCTGCACCAAGGCGTTCTTCTCTACGTGGTATCACCTGCAAAGAAATATTGTAAAAAATTTACTTGACAGATTTGTCATTAACTTTGTTTCTTATTTTTAAAAATTTACCGTTGCCAAAGCCATTTTATTGCCATCGTCACTAGAATCACCCTCATCTTCCGAATAGAATAATCGTAAGCCACGTTTCGTCATGGACTGCATCTGGAATGATGATTGAGCATATCTAAAATAGCGTTGCTAGGACATGTTTCATTAATAGTACCAATGTTTTGCATAATCTTTATTAAGAAACAATTATAAATTTAAATAGTTTGATTCTACTACACCTATAGATAATTTATTTGCATTAGATTATTATGTAGTGATCTAACTCAAACAAATTGTGTATAAATTAAAACGCTGTCTGGCTGTATACACTAGATTCGGGGGCCTGGTAACCTGGTGACCTGGTAATACGGGCTTCATCATTTTCGGAATTTTAACTGCACGTGTTATTTATTGATTTATATTTGGATCATTTACGTGACGACAAATAAATAATATTATTTATTAAAGTCAGGTACCTAAGATTTCGGTACTGTACCGAATGGTGAGACACCAATCCGATAGTCTTTCAAATAAAACTATCGATTCGATATCAACGAGTCATCAACTAGGCGATCAACGTCGCTAGTGGACAACTTTGCCGTCAATGGCGCATAGGACCACCGTGTGTGATTTTGTTAGGTTCAAGCATACAGCTAGGCACTTATTGTATTTTTACAATTGTTGAATAACGAATGAAGTTAACTTATTAACTGCGTGGTCCGTTGTTTTTCTTGTGTAAAACCTTACTGATTTTCTGAGATAATTTTGAGTTTATGTAAATAGTTTGTTAATCTATTACATATTTATAAAGCGTTCTAGTACTTTAGCCAAAGAGGGCAAGATATATATATGTCTATAGTTGCTATATCTCCACTTTTATAAATACATAGGTTTCAGAAGAACCGTTTTAAAACAATTGGGAAAGATACCTTAGTCTAAACTTCGATTGCATTTAGGTATGTGTAATTGAAGGCACAAGGACGTATATAGCCATGTTGAGGACTTTAGAAATATGTTATCAATACCAGCAGCAACACTCTGTTTTAGATTTCTAATTGAATTGAATACCTCGTCATAATCAGTCATACTGATAACGAAAGATTTAAGAGAAGGAAAATTAGATTTACTATTTGGAGATATAAAATATCTGTTAGGATTTTTAGTTAGTTCTTTGCCAACGTTAGCAAAGTAGTCGTTTAAGGTATTTATAGAGTGTTGCGGTTTTCTTTCGGACTGAGATCATTATTATTTTTATTTCCTAGTTTAACTAAGTATCTCTAATTACGCTCCACGTCCTCTTTATATCGGGTTGGCACAAAAGTAATGAGACACTTGGTTTAGGTTTTTACTTTTTTATTATTATTACAATAAAAAAAGTTTAGTCAATGATGTAATTACCATTAGTATCTAAGACTTCTTGCCAACGATCCGGCAAAGTTTGGATGCCTTTTGCCCAGAACTCTGATGGCTGTGCCTCGAAAAAGTTGTTCAACTCCGCCTCTTCGTCAGAGAAATCATTAAATTGTTTACCCCGCAAATACTGTTTCAGGGCTCTAAACAAATGATAGTCTGATGGGGCGAGGTCTGGGGAATAAGGTGGGTGGGGTATCGTCTCCCAGCCCAAGTTCTCCAACTGCCGGCGAACCACAGATGCGACGTGAGGTCGAGCGTTATCGTGCAGTAAAACTACATTGACTCGTCTTCGTCGTTTTTTTTTGATAGCGGCAGATAATTTGGTAAGGTGGGTTGAATATTTGTCAGCGTTTATAGTTTCATTGTGTAATAGCTCATAAAACAGTATGCCTTGCGCATCCCAGAAACAGCAAAGCAGAATTTTTCGGCGGTTCTTTTGACTCGGCTTCGGTTGAGTTGGTGGCGTTTCTTCTCGAGGCAGCCAAAAATCACGACGTGTATCGTTCTCGTAATAAATCCATGATTCATCTCCAGTAACCAGATCTGACAAAAACTCTTTACGTCGGGGTAGCAGCAAAAGTGACTGACAGATAGCGACACGGACTGCACGACTGGCGTCTGTAAGGATGTGCGGTACCCACCGAGCCAAAACTTTTCGATAACCAAGCTCATGCAGATGGTGTTCCACGGCGTGGTGACTGCATTTAAGTGCTTCCGCTAATTCACGAGTGGTAGCATCCGGATTCAACTGCGGTTCGCGGCGCAAATCGTCATCATTCACTGCGGGTGGTCGCCCTGAGAGTGGCTGACTTTCAAGGCTCCTGTCTCCTGATTTAAAACGGTCAAACCATCGGGACACCGTCGCATGGCTTGTACTTCCAACGCCTAATGCATTGTTGATATTGTCAGCCTCAGCCCGCGCACTGTGGCCTAACAAGTACTCGTATAAGTATAGTGTTCGAACTTGTCGCTCGTCCATTTTTCTTCAAACTGGCTAAACAAATCGCGAGCGCGGCTTTATATACCCTACACCAGAAGTACCTAGAATGTTCTACAATATTCTAGAATATTATCGAAAAAATTGATTTTAAAAAGGAAATGTTATAGATTTTTCTAATGTGTCTCATTACTTTTGTGCCAACCCAATATTATTTGTTAGCTTTATTCATTTTTGTTTGTTTTACGATAGTTCTACTTTTTTAAATAAATCATTATACAAGTTTATATTAGCTCGTTATATTAGTTTATGTAGCTCGGTGGCGTAGTGGATAAACGCCGCGGCCCGCGATCGTAGTCGTTAAGCAACTTTCGCAAGGGTCGGTTACGGGATGGGTGACCAAAAAATTTTTATCTCGAGTTACTCCGTGCTTCGGAAGGCACGTTAAGCCGTTGGTCCCGGCTGCATTTGCAGTCGTCAATACCCTCCAACCCGCATTGGGCCAGCGTGGAGGGTCATGGCCCACCCTCCTTAACCATCCATAAGGAAGGCCTGAGCCCCTGCAGTGGGGACGTGAAAGGGCTGGTGGTGATTATACAAGTTTATATAGCGTTTGTAAGTAGTAGTTATTGTTGTTTTATCTGGATATTTTTTACATTATGCGTATAGTTGATCGCGGTTTCTTATACACCGCAATAAACCGGGCGTAATCCAAGGTATTATTATTTTTTCCTATTTGATACAATTTTGAAATTGGTATTTTCATTTACAATATCTGTAATTTTAGTGACAAGTAGTTCTGTGCTTATATATGTATCATTGCATTCCAAGATTGGATTGAAGTCTGTTAGTGTTAAACTTGTAACTATATAGTCTCTAGATTAATAGTTTTGTAACTGGCTAAAGTTTTTGTGGTATGGTTGTTCTTATTATACTGAAGATAGTTAAAAAATTATCTGTAATCGTATTTAGCATAACCGCAATAGATGTTCTTAAGTAAGATTTTGCAATTATATGGTCCAGGCAGTGCATGTCTTGTAGGGAACATATGGCCGGGAAGAAAACCATGGTAAGCCAATAGACTTTATTGTGCTAAGTTTTTTGGTTATACTATTTTGGCACTTTATTAAACACCATCAAGAACCGAAGGGAAGGGAATATAAATATAAATGTCAGTTCGTGAATATTCTTATACATACTTAATTTCAATCAATAGCAATTTGTTGTAAAAAAGTGTTAAAATCTATTTATTATTGCCTGTTTCCATTATGCTCACGACTTTTGAATTCAAGAAAAATGTATAATATATCAAATCAAATATAATATAGTTAAATTACCCACCAAACTCTAAGAAAAGGGGTGTGTAATTGTTCTATTTAAATATTTTAATATTATTATTTAGGTAACCATATGAACTGTTTTTATATTCCTTTTTGATTGTTACAGTTTATTTTTGTTTACTCTTTATTAAATCAAGTTCTCAAGCTTAACCTTTTATTCATTTGCCTAAACATCGAACCCGTCACAGTGCGTCATCAACGAGTGGAAAGCGCACCGTCAACTAGCTCGACTTCAATCAGCGGATATTTGCACAAACAGCAGCGGGTATTCAATTAGCACTTCTTCAATTATTTTTTTTCTGCATGATCACTTATCGCCGTAATAATGCGTGCACTCGGTTCAACAACTAATCTTACTCCCAAGAGTTCCAAAGTTGAGTCGGTTGTAATATGTGAAGATCTTAAGTATGTGTACTTTGACTCACAGCAGATTGCAGAGGGGGGTGTGATGGAACACTTGGTGGTGCAGGTGGCGTTACGCGGTACCGATGCAAGGATCTCAGTCGAGGTAGCTCTGGTGCGGAACCGAACGCAACAACTCTTGCTACCAGCGCGTCCCCCGCATCCCAAATTGCACCAGCGCCTCCCCCCATGCAGCTGTAGAATTCGTCTGCTGATCGCGCTGACAAAATACGACTGGAAGAACAATAAATTAAATAGACATATAAAGGTATGTACGTAGATCAAAATGGAATGAACATTCTTCATTCGCTTTTTAGGACATTATTGAGCTTTGCGCTTATAGCGCAAGAGCTCATGATAAAAATGGTTAAATGTCAGTCAGTGGCGGCAGCGGCGCGCTGTGAAATATATAAAATTGTAATATGCGTTATGAGTGCTTTATAATAGTTAAAAATTAGCGAAAAACTTGTTCTTATATAAATGACAGAATAAACTGCTCAGACTCTACAATTGGGGAACGCGGCGCGAACTTAACCCATCTCGCGGAGGAGTCGTCGTGACATTTTAAATGGTTATAAAGGTTAATCTAAAAAATACTTCATAAAGAATACTTTTTTGAGCGAAACAAACATATTCTAATAACGATGATAGTGTAAGCAAGATTTTAAAAATAAAAACACTTAATTACTTCACAAAGGCTTTTATTAACCACAAAATGGTTGCCACCAATGGCGTCGAAAATAAATACAAGGTCAATAATAAAAACAAAACCAAATATACATCAAAAATATATTAAAAAAAACTATTAAAATATAAAAAGAGCATATTATCCGCATATAATTGTTATATTAGATTTAAATTATTTAGATTTATCGCATTTTTATGTAGGTATAACTCTAATTTAATATATAAACTTTTAGCATTAATAATTTCCAGCATTTGCTCCTATGTATAGTATTCTGCTTTGGCTTATGATTAATTTCAATGTTTATTTTCATACTCACTCCTGTAATAAATCCCATATTGCTAGTGCAGTGAGCAATAAAACCTCATTTCCATCAAGCAGTACTAGATCCCAAACTCTTAGTAACGAATCCCGTGGTAACCATGTCGCATACAGAGTCAGGAACCACTGCATTGTAAACACATCTGGTAAAGGAGGTTCAACGCCACCACCTGAAAGTTTAATGAAAAAACTTAAACGACTTAAAAAAAAAACAAATATAATCATCACTAAGGTATGAAAAAAATATGAGCTCAGCTCTTGTGGTTGATTTCAAAATGTTACCATCAGATATCCGCTGCAAGTGGTCCATGTGATGCGCAAGTCTTGGTAATCTTAAGCGTAAAAGGTCCCTAAACGCAGCCATGTCTGCTGATAGCCCACGAAGATCATCTGCGAAGTAGCCTTCAGGTAGCACAGCTTCCACCAAATATACCATCACCTGTTGAGCACAGATCAGCAGTTATAAAAGATATAAGGAGATTTAAAATTTCATTAAATCAAAGATTGTTTTCACCTTTAAAGAGTCGGACTCTGATTTTTCCATAACTTCTAGTATTATTGCCGCCAACATGTTGAACCCTTGACAGTATCCAACATCTTTGTTCCATCTAAAAATGAAATATACTAATATGCGAAAAATTCAGAAAATGCCACTTTACTATGCTATCATTCATACACCCAGTTACACAAACATCCATTATACATGTAATTAGTTTAAAGCATATTCCTGACAAAAATATTCAAATTTAGAACATTCATTAGAATTAAAAGTCGTCATTACACCTAAATGCTCCGAGTACTGCAGCAGTCTTTTAATATATTCATGTGTCATTGGTAAAAAAGGTTAAGTTTGAAAATCCGTTCCTAGTGAACGTATTTTAAATCTTCGCAAGAAGTAACAAACATGAAATATGACTCAATAATTACCGCGCGTATGCCAATAGTACCCTACGGAGCATTGCTTGATTTTCACGCCCTTCTGTTCCGCAAAAAAGAGAACAGCCTGTGCGATGTAAATCCTGAAAATAAATATACTATATTTATATCATATTATTACTACATCAGTTTGGATATTAAACATTTTCTAATTTTATTTTTTCACTTATTTGACAGGGTTTATTCGATATTTTTGTATTTGATGAATGCAATTTAAGTTTTACTGGTATTACTCAAGTGTAATTATGTCTTTGTTTGATTACCTTCAATATCTGTGCACCAAGTTCAGTGTCATCGGGCTGAGCAGTGCCACGGAAGCAGGCACGCTCCGCCGCTGACCATTCTATATTTCTCGCAGTAAGATGTCTTTCTGCCAGAGTTAGCCATAACTAAAACAATATATTTATATTTGATCATTTTATCATTTTTAGAAAAATAAACTTTATCGCACAACAAAAGAGAACATACAAGATACACAAAGATAGAGAAGCAAATGGCGGCCTTATCGCTTAAAAGCGATCTCTTCCAGGCAACTGCATAAAGGAAATTAGATACGGAGAACAATTTAGGGCAGAACATTTGAGCAAAATTATAATTTATACATATAAATACACAATCCAATTAATTCATACACACACACACACACACACACATACACACATACACACACGCACACATACGCACACATACACACGCACACACACACAAATACAAAAACTTAACTTACAGAAATTTAATATTATCTACATTAAATATTATTTGCATGTACAGCACGTGAGAGATAGTATTCTGTAACTAAATTTTTAAAAACATTTAAAGATTGGGCACGCCTCGCAGCATCCGGCAACTAGTTCCACAGACGAGAGGCATGTACAGTAAAGGACCTGTCAAACACTCTAGAGGAATGCATAGGCATCGCGAGTCTCGGGTTGTCCGATGATCTCAAGAGACGGGAGTGGGTGTCAGAAAGAAATTTGAAACGCTTTTTAAGATAAGCAGGAGAAGCAGGAGAAGCAGGATTATATAGGACATTATATAACAAAGAAACTATGTGAGCATTCCGGCGAAGTCGAATAGGCAACCATTTGAGTTCTTGACGATTTTTTGATACATGATCGTATTTACGTAATCCAAATATGAATCTTATTGCGAAGTTCTGATGTCGCTCAAGTTTATTTCTTTGTTTCTGAATGGAAAATGCTTAAAAAATCCACTTTGTTTTGACACTCTGAGGTGGGACTTGAACCATGACCTTTCGCAATCTGGGCTATCGAAGTAAAGAAAAGCTTGTGATTATAAATTTTTGATCACCCATCCTATAATCAGCCTCTGACTACAGCGCTATCGAGCTCCGCATTATATCTATGTACACTAATCCTAAATTACCGCAGTAAATAAAAAACAGTTTACTATTATTTTTACTAAAAAAGTTTACTATTATCTAGTTTACTATTATTTGTCTAATCAGAGGGAAGAAATGATCAATCAGCGCAGGCCAAACAGACGAAAATCTGGTAAATAACAGATTGCGAATCACAAGAACAGATTACAAGGTCTATAAGATTTGTAAATAAATATATCTGTTAACTACCGAATATAGTATTGTGAAAACTTTCATTTCTTTTATTATTATATTGTAATGAGTAAAGAGGTTAAGCAATGATGGACTCTCCTTTTATTTTGGCATTTCCAAACAACATATTTATGATAGAAAAATAAAGAACATAATAGCAAAGCATTGAAATACCTGTAGTAGTAATAGGTTATAATTTCTATAAAAGAGGTTGTATCTGTCGTTACGAAATAATTTATTGCGGAGATAGATGCTATGAAATTCTAAAATTAGACTCGTGCTCCTAACGATCTCTTTACGCATTCAAGTGACGTCAAACAAAAGTTTGATTACGGAGGTAAAGTTAAATTCAAAAGCAGTTAATGTATATTTTACTTATGTTGTTCTAAATAATTAAGTTTCTCTTCTAGATGTTTGGAAGTGTATTTTTAGCATATGATATTTATCCTCATCACATGATAAATTTATTTTATTTAAATAATATTAGTTGCTTATCTACAAGAAATCTATACATGATGGCCCCTCAGGGTAGAAAAGAAATATTGGAGCAAATGATTTTTACACTGTGTTTAATACAATGGCATTTTTAACACCCAACATAAACAGATATTTCCAGATAAACAAAAAAAAAAATTAATAACAAACAAAGAAAAAAAAACATGTACTGCAACTCTTAGTCTTGACAGAGTTTAGCATCGCGAGCTCACCAAATTTGGTCGCTAATTCAGGGCAATCTAAATTTTAAGATATAAACAATTTGCAAATTACTACATTGCTATTTGTTTAACACATACCAAGGACCGAGGAACTAGATAGTATTGTTAAGCAACTTTCACAAGGGCCAGTCATAGGATGGGTGATAAAAAATTTGTCATCTCAAGCTCCTGTGTGCTTCGGATGTCCCGGCTGTATCTGCAGTCGTTAAAACCCGCCAATCTTCATCTACATTAGATGATTTTATTGCACCGAGCCTAAACCCTTTTCTAAACTGCACACAGGTATATTTCTGCTTCTTGTTCTTCTTTGTTTCTTTTATCGTGTCAATGTTTAGTAAGTGATGTAATTGTGTGTTGCTGAGAAATAAAGTTTTTATCTATCGATCAATCTGCACTGGGGCTGCCGGCCCGCGTGGATCACGGCCCATTCTACCTATTCGATTTGATACGATTCCATCGGTGGAAAAGTTCTGTGGGGTCAAGGCGGGGACATTAATAGGCTGGTGATATACTGAGTGCAACACTCCCAAGCAGACCCATACCAGCGCGTTCTTTTCACGTAAGCTAGCGTAGAAAAATATCATTTGTTTATACTAGTCATCTGTGGCGCGCTCGTTTGTAGATATTAATAGTGCTTGAGTGTAATTCATTAAAGAGTGTAATAGGAGTTTCGTTTTTACTTTTCTCCTGAAGTGCTGCGGTACGCCAGCGGGAAGCCGCGCCACTAGTCGCATGGCGTGCAACCACTCCGCGTAACCACCCTCCCCCGATCCTTCCTCGCCCGGCGTGATGCCAAACTTGGCGCCAGGATCGCCCGCTATCAAGAAATTGTAAATTATACACGTCAGTAACAATTAAAAAAACAGAGTTTCTTCCAATTTAAAGTCACAAATCGCGTTTGAAAATATTAAGTCTAAGGACGCTAATTTAAAAATCTATCACAAAGAAGAAAGACATTTACGAATTTTAGTTTTTTTTTCGAAGATATTGCCATGAACGATGATATCGTTTATTTGACATTAATCGGAAGTGCCTAAGCAAAGTGATAGTTACAGATATCTTTGAAAACTATTGGGAAATATTTGAAACGAAATTAATTGTCTATTACTTTTATATAATTCAAATTATCATTCGTTCCGAAAGCGATTGTAACTTTAAAAAATCCATAAATTACTATCACAACCGCTATACGTTTGAAAGATAATGTTATAGATTTAAAAAGATAGTTAAACCACCGTTTTTGTGATAGTCTTAGTGGTTATAAACTAATTACAATATATTTCAATTATAATTCTATGTTCGCACTGGTTACTCAAGTTTACTTTATACTTTGTATTTTCGGCAAAACAGTTTGCACTACTTTAATAAATAACAATAAAAAGGAATACCCAGCACTGTTGCAACATCTACAAAAAGAGTTGCACATATCTTTCGTTTTTTTTTCAAATGATCTTAGTTCTTAGTTACTGCGGCATAGAATATTCAGCTGCATTTTTATCAATGACTCGTCTATGTTTAAAGTTTTGGGGATGCATGTAGAAATAAAAAAAACTAATTAATACTTCGTTGTGATAACCAGAGGTCGGAATAAGGTAGAGTTATTTATGTACTTGCATCGAAATGCTGATATTAACCTTCCCGGGATTTCTTTATTTCATTATTTCTTTCTTTCATTGATGTAAGTTTGGCAACGTCGTGCGTGCAGTAGTTTAAATTGTGTAAAAGTAAATAAGTTTTTATTTAAAAAATCACGGGATTTTTTCTGCTCTTTAAAATTAATCTTGAGATTTGAGGCATATCCACTTTATTCTTTCGCTGTATGAAATCAGTGTAAGTACATGAATAACTCTACCTAATTCCGACCACTGGTGATAACACAACATATGTTAAGCTTCTTTATTAATTATTAGAGATTAGAGATTATCTATAGCAAATAGAATAATCACCATTATTCACAAATTTAATTATTCCCAAAAATATTAAAAATATGTATTATATACTTTGTAACTATTATATATTTTGTAATGAAACATTAGTTGGGGATAAAAGTTATGGATTTACATTAATTACTAACTAGTTACCATTAATAAGGAAAATTTATAATTATTTTGAATAACCGTCAATAAGAATTTTAACTTTCTAAAATTGTATCAGAGCTAGAGTTGAACAAAAAATGAAGTCAAATTCCTATGCGGAAGCTTTTAGAGTCTACCTAACAAAATGTACTATCGATTGCTATTGTGTTACGCATAAAACATATAAGGATTCCATTTAATTATAACAATTAGCAGATGATTTACCTGAGTTGGCCCTCGATGAACCTGCTAAGTTCCTGAGGGAGTTTAGGATTGCACTCATCTGTCCTGCACGCGGTACACATTTGACAATAAACACATATCTTTAGAGATAAATTGGACACTGACAACCGATAAAACTCAATCCGATGCAGTGTCACTGCGGTTTGTTAGACAAAACATCTCTGCTTAAGCGGATCTCCTTTAAAAATCGTCGAGAGCGCATATCACAAGACAATATCGAGAAAACAAAGGGATAATCACAGGTATATGCCATAATTCGAAGGCATTTGAGACTGCGTAGTCGACCAGCTGATGTGGTGTTTACTGGGTAAGTCGCGAAGGAAACGTTATGACCACCGACCCCGTACTACTAAACTTCACGTCAAGAACTGAATTCGTTTCGACTGAGGGGCGCCAGGAGATTGTAAAATCCGCTTTTGTTATTCTAGGATATTGTACAGGGTTTCGTAGTGAAAGCATCGGAGCATGCGCTGTTCACTCTGATCGTTGAATGTGTGCGTTGCGTATCGATTGCATGCCCCTGTGTACGTCAGTCTCGAATACCGATAGATAGTAATAATACCTTCTGTTGAGTTTTCTTTGAAGTGCGTTAAGCTATATATGATTCTCATGAATGAAACTTATTTTGTAATGGTTTCTATAACGATAGTTGCCCAATATTACGATTCCTTTGACACGTTCATAATTTAGTGTATGTACAATTTATTTCAGCTGCTTTATTTATCACGTGATTCTATTAACTCACCGGAAGTCTTTATTAATAGATTTTGTAGGTTTTATTGTTCATTTAATTTTAGTGTTTTACATCAGTTTAATATGACGTCTTACTTTTCTACTTTCTGAATCAAATCAGAAAGCACCACCTTTTTAAATCGGCTAAATTTCGGAACTCGGCGAAAAGATTAATCACTACTGATTATTAATTGAAAAGTATAATCCTGATGGACAGCATTTATCGTGTAGCGGGAATATGACAGTTATTAATTACATACTTCAACCGAGGTTTGTTCACCAACAGAGGGGCGTTGATTAGACTAAACCATTTATTTATCAATAACTAGCTGCTTTCCCGCAACTTCGTCTGCGTAAATTATAGACTATGTCACCAGCGTATGACAGCTTTCCGTAAGTGAAAAGATTGTCGTGATAGGATCAGTATTTCAGAAGATTGTGCCCTATAAACAAAACAAATAAATTCTCAATATTAGTAGTATTGATATGCTCACGTTTAATGCAAATAAGTCCTTACGTAATATGACCGGTATCATTAAAGTAATTAATATAAAATATTCTTTGATAAACACTATTACAGTAACACACAAAAACATGGGCAACTAAATATTCGGTACAATTGGCGATTTTATTGCTAAAAAGTAATTTCTTCTAGAAATATAATTTCTTGATAAAGATTTGCGTCACGTTAGAACAAAATAACTATTAAATATTGATTTTTTATATTTTCACGCGCTCTGTCCATAAAAGAAACAACTTTTAAACCTTTTAATCGCGTTTGTATTTTTCATTGTTTGATGTTTCGGACTCTTTACAGGATCCACGTAGGACATAAGTCTAAGATGGCGTAGTCTTCAGGAAAATCGTAAAGGGTCATTTATTAATAAACTAATGATGTATTTTCTAGACGTTTTTGGAGAGTTAGTAAGTTAAAATATTATTTTTCACTAATGACCTGTATCTGATCTTACATTATTATTATAATTATTTATTGTTGTAAGGGGCTATGCAGTTCTTATTGTGACTCGTCGCCAGAGCTATGTATAGTAACTCCTTTAGCCCGGTAGACTTCAAAAAGTCTATAATATTCCTGGCTTTTAGAAATTTTATATCTTCTGGGCTTATTATATGTCGTCCCAGATATATGCTTCGTTTGTGGATCAGTGGTCCACATTCACACAGGAGATGTTTTGGTGTTTCACGTTCCTGTTTGCAATATCTGCAAATGTCAGTGACACTTAGTTTCATATTAAATAGGTGTCTGTATAATTTGCAGTGATCTTACATATATCTAACTAATAAATTTATCAAAAAGTATTCGTTAAAGTAGGCATTTTTTGTTATTATGTGAAAACATTTGGCAAAATGCTGTTTCATCATTATTTTGTCCAATTTATTTCTTTCTGCTGGATACATTCTGCTGATTCATAAATGTGTACTCTATTAAAACGAACAGAAATAAAGCTTGGATATCAAAGGGAGATTAAGCTCAGCCGGATCATATTGTAATATTTTTAGATTCGATACGAAAACGAAAGTGCTTCGGTCCCCATGTCCATTTATATTTTTAAGATAAAAAATATACTTTGAATCTTATTGTGGCTCTATGGAATATAGATAAGCCTTCTGAGGGCACTGTGGCAGCCCCTTACTCTTAAGCGAAATAATAAATTAAATTTAAACTAGTTCCTGTTCCAAATAAGCATCAAGTTAGACTGTATTATATTATTACTAACTATTATTGTGTTTACAATATAGTTTCCTCTAAAGCACCTTCTGTATTAAACTTGAATTTTGATAGCTTCGTTCGTTTGAAGTTAAAACAATAACGATTCTATTTAAATTTCTAAGTTCCTTTTGGTACATATTCTCTTCTGTAACATATTCTAGTTCATTTCTTAAAGTGGAGCTTTTAAAAACAGGGGGTCTTCTTAAGTGACACGACATTTAATCTAGAGTACAGAATATTTAATTAACCAATCATATTAGCTTGACAACGTTCACTACTGGACAAAGGACCTCGCCCCAAAAAATTCCACTACGATCCGTTGCGCGCGGTCTCTACCTGACGCTTCCCGTATTGACTGTGAGCGTCAGGATTGCCTGATCTGATCTAAGTTTCGTTTGGTCACCATTTGGGCTTAACACTTCAGGTTTTCATGACCATTTAATTAATTAGCTCATCAAATTACTAATCAATTTTGAATATTATTTTACTTATATGTCGCAGTAGCACGCTGAAGGCGGCACACAGTCGCTTTTGTTGCCTCCTGAGCCGGTCTCTCGTACGCAGACCACGGGCTAAGCGTTCTCCTGTAGTCTGCAATCTCGACTGCCATTCAGAAAGATGTAGCGCGAGTTCTTGGACACCTATAAAGAATAACTATGGTAGTTAAATGTTATATTTGTTATTTCTATAAAAGTGTTTTCTCAGGATTTTTTGATAAAAGATCTACATTGCTCATTAAGACAATCATCATATATAAATTATACATGAGAATATTAAGTAGCTTGGTGGCGTAGTGGATAAGATTCGCAGCCCGAGGTAGTTGTTAAGCTACTTTCGCAAGGGTCTGTCACGGAATGGGTGATCAAAAAATATTATCTCGAGCTCGTTCGTGCTTCGGAAGGCACGATAAGTCTTGGTCCCGGTTGCATTTGTAGTCATTAATACCTTTCAATCTACATTGGGCTAGCGTGGAAGGTCACGGCCCATCCTCCTTAACCATCCATAACAGAGGCCTGAGCCCCAGCAAAGGGCCCTTGGTGATGACGATGACATGAGAATGTTATAAAATATCATCAAATATTAACCGGAGGTGTGTAATAAAATTAACATAATTGATGCATATAAAAGATTGTGTTCTTGCTAAAGTTATGATGACCAACTTTTGTGGTAATGGCACTGGAATCATGTCATTTCGCCAGTGCAGGATATATTTTTTTAAATGCTTTTATATTTTATAGGAAGGTAGTTATAATATAGTTTTACTAATAATTTCCTTATTTAGACAATATTATAACAACTTAAAAACTACTAAAAATGGAGGTTCAAGTATCCTTTGAGAATGGCTGAATGGATTTGGTAATTCTTTTTTAAAATGGTCAGATTCATAATATGGTTTAAAAAGCCCTAGAAAACTTTTATTTATAACATGAAAATTCATAAAAGGGGAAAGTTCTTTTTCTGTGGAATAATTAAGGAAACACCAACGTTTTTGAAAAATATAAAATTAATTGCAATTAATAGTGTAAAAATTCCAAAAAATGCAATAAAAAAAATCAAAAACACAAGGTTCTATGGGAAAGGTTATTTATTCAAATAAACGTTGGAGTATACAAATATCTTATAAAATAACTTTTATATACGATGTAAACTATAACATAGGTATAGGGCACACAAATATCATCGCCATCTAGCGATCATATATACAACCACAACAACAAACAGACAATACAATCACATACATTATCAAAGAATATTACTAACATATAGTGCGTCTTCAAGTCAAGCTACTGATAGATGAGATGGTAAATTGGCGACTACTATAATACATACTTAAAGCTTCTAAATAAATACACTCGCTGGCTTCAGTCTGATCTCCGCAGTTGGATAAAGATGACGTCACCGACGCCGCTGATGTAGATCTGCAATTAAAACATAAAAAATATGTTGTTTTTACCAATCAGATATTTTAAATATTATAATATAAAAATAATATAGTATAAATAATAATAACACCGCATGACCAAAAATTTACTATCTTGAATGACTTTTTTTCCAACAGCCGAAGCCTCTTACCGCACGTTTCGCCACTATTTCGGTCCACTGTGGGTTGGGGGTACGGCTCAGGGACATTTGAACCTTGATCAAAGACAGGAGATCGCATCTCCTGTTTTAACCCGTCTATTGGGGGATCCACCTCGACTTGACCCTTGTGGTTACCCCCGCAACAGTGCCCCCGGCTTTTGTGATTCGGAAAGCACGATCAGCCATTGATCCCGGCTGTCGTTAACACCCACCAATCCGCACTGGACCCGCGTGGTGGATGCAGCATGAAGACATAGATATTTAAGATTATTTAAAAAAGCAAAACCACAGTCATATATGAATCATAAAACAACAATTACAATATTAGGGAATAAATATTAATTAAATCTAAATATATATAACTCAAAGGTGACTGACTGACATAGTGATCTATCAACGCACAGCCCAAACAACAGGACCGATCGGGCTGAAATTTGGCATGTAGGTAGATGTTATGACGTAGGCATCCGCTAATGATCAATTCTACCCCCAAGGGGATAAAATAGAGGTTGAAAGTTTGTATGAAACTTTGTCAATTTTAAACCTATCGGGCTGAGACTTTGCATGCATAAAGCTACTATGACGTAGGCATCACCTAAGAAAGGATTTTGATAAATTCCACCCCTAAGGCGATAAAACAGGGGATGAAACTTTATTTCCGGTATTTTACACGATATAATGAATAAAAATTTGTTAGAAACGCGGATGAAGTCGTGGGCAAAAGCTAGTATTAAAATAAAACAGTAAAATATTGTATTTCTCAGTTTGGTATTATCACTAGAACTATCAATTGCTAAAGACTACTGTTATCTTAATTTTATTTCCATTGATAGAAGCTTTAGTGGGCACACATTCCTATCAAATCAGTTTTAATAAGGTCGGTATTATATTTGATGGTTTTTAACCAAAATAATACGATAATTGAATGTGTTATAGGTGAAGTCTGTATTAAGTTAATCATACCCACGGCTGCAGTAAATGGCGCTGCTAGTGCTCCAGTCACGCTGCTCAGAGTACAGCTCGTCAAGTAATTCTTCAACGAGTTCTTTTACATCCCTTTTCTGAATAAAAATTAATATTTAAAATTTGGTCCTCTACTCTATTTAGTCCTTTATGAATGGAGATCATGGCCAGATGAACGTCAAACTTCAGAGAGAATTGCTCATTTATTATTTTCATCTAAATAACCACGGAAAACTACCGATTTAAAGACAAACATTGTTATTTTTTTCCCATTATTATTATGTTATTTTTACTCATCGCGATAATGCAGCTAAGTACACATCTTTGAAAAGGTAAAGCACCGGACAGTGGAATTCCGCGGATCATTTAGATTTGCGGTTTTATTATAAGTAATCAAATGTAAACTGTGTATGTGGTCAATAAAAACATATTCTATTATGTCAATCGCAAAACAATCACCTAAGTTGTAGTCGCATACATATTAACAAATAAATCATTTCCAAATATTATCTTTGCTTCTACTGCGAGATGTGCTTTCATAGTTAATTAAAAACTAAAAGTATTTTAATTTAGTAATTTATACGTTACTTGATAATTAAAGTTCCAAGCTAAAGGTCATTGCGAATCCAGAATATTTCGATTTAGATCCATAATAATTATCTCTGTTATTTTTTTTGTCCATTAAAACGATGAACTATACCAACCTGAGAACGGGTGTCGATTATCGGTGGTGCTGGCACTGGGGGCTTCGTAACAACACGATTCACTTGTGGTACCTTAATATGTTTAGTTTTCTTTATTGGCTTCAGCCTTTCAGATTTCGGTGGCGTAAAATCTAATTCAAACCTCACAACTTTCAAATTAATTGGTTCTATTGTATACATATTGCAAACTTATTAAAATCGTTGTTATTATAAAATTTATTACGATTTACGGTGGTTATTGAAGGCTATTTTGACATTAAAGAATACTTTATTCTTTAATTTTGTAGAAGAATAAACAAGAAACCGATAATATTGTTATTGTAACTGTTTGGTTTGCGACTTTAAACTATACGATGGGTTTAGTTAACAAAGCGTGGCGGGAGTGCGATAATCGCCCACTCGTTTTGTCGGTTGACGTCCTGATAGTGCTTGATAACAGTTAATATATTCACTTGAATGCATTCCCAATGAGCTAAACCCCAACTTACACCGCCAAATAACAACTTACAAATATAATACCTATAATTGAATTATAAATAAATATAGCGTTAGTAAAATTTTAGGTCCAAGCTTGTAAAATATTCGGACGTTTCATGAATATTTATTATATTAGTTCGTTGTTGATTCAATAAATGAGATAAGATCTTTTTATGAAAATTTCATACCTCAAGATTTTCTTAGATGTTTAATCTAGCGTTAGACAATAAATTAAATATTGATATATTTAAAAATTTACAGATTTTCCCTTTTCTTCTAACCTACTGAGCCTACAAATTTGAAAATTTGTCCAGAAATCCATTACATGTACTTATTTTCGTATTGAACCTATAAGAAAAATGAAAGGAGAAAAGAAAGGAAAAGAAGGACAATGATAGGTGGTGGAAATATTGCATGGAAGTCGGTTACTTTTTAGTTTGAATCTTCAACGGAATATGTACAATTGTACATATTTAGGTTCGTGATTTCAAATAGAATGACATATTTCACTATTTACGTTGAGTTCAACCCTAGAGGGGTTGAAAAATGAACAAGCAACTTTGAAAATAATCAGTTTTCTTTATTTAGTGTACGACGACCATAATATGTAATAGCTTCCGAACTTAGATAAGCATTTATTTTGAGCAGTAGATAATTAAAAAAGAAATTGGCTCACAGTCACTCATTAAAGTACCTACGAAGGTTATTGCAATTTTCAAATTACGCAATTTCATTTTATCTTTATTATACAACTAGTGGACGCCCGCGACTTCGTCCGCGTGGAAGTCGGTATCCCGTGGGAGTGAGAAGTTTTCCCAGTAAAAAGTACCCTATGTGTTATTCTGATGTATAACCTATATTGCTGTAAAGTTTTATCCAAATCCGTCCAGTAGTTTTTTCGTGAAAGAGTAACAAACATCCATACATCCATACTTACAAACTTTCGCCTTTATAATATTAATAGGATGTGGAGTTTTTATTTAATAAATTAATGTTAAGTTTGTGAATATGTCATGGCATTATACTACTTAACGGTTCATATAACTTGTCCATTGAAATCTGGTGGACATTTTATGTATTAAGTAAATATTAACCACCTGACTTTAATGATTTTTTCGTAAACATGAACCGCCAAATTCTTTCAAGCTATTGAAGCTGAAGCAATTTAAGAAAATAGACAAAAGCCTAACACGATTTAGATATTCAAACAAAAAATGGGTCTATATATACATGTACATTATAGGAAAACCTATTAGTTTCGTAAGTACAACTCGCTCTTGTCTGGTTTTTAAAGTTTCCTATACAAATGATAAAAACGGAATAACGAAAACTCCGGTGTCATCATTTATATCATCATAATGATCATTTATAACAATGGCATGCCATTTGATCAACCAATGAATTATCTGATTTTATTATTGTAATACAATTCTTCTTGGTTACATTTATAAACTCTATAAATAAAATGTTCAATCTATATGCCTGACAAAAGACGTAAGTAGGAAAAAGAATTGGACGATTTACATGTGCTATTTATTAGAAAATATTTTCTTTCGTTAATTTTTTTAAAAATCATAACTACTATTTCTTCACAAATTATAGATGGTAATTTAAAAGGTGGTACATATATTCATGCAAGTTGTACTGAAGTCGGCCGGTTAATATTAACAACCTAAACAAAATATCCAATTTCGTACTTTAATGGAAGTTTCATGCACGTTTCACGTTTTTGATATCTGTTTAATTTTTTATTCCTTTTGTCATTATTATTTGACTGTGAATGTATCTAAGAACAAGTGCCCAATTTAATAGGCTAAATTGGAGGTATTTGTACTTACTCTGTGCTCCAAAAGTTGTCTCAAAAGTCTCACTTAAACACTTTCTATTGTAATATCACTAAAGATGAATGGTTATAAATCACTATCCCGGTTGTTATCGCTCTAATATGTATCGAGAGATTATAGAGCATTTAATTTACGACATTAAATGTTCTATCGATACTCGCTTGCGGTAGTTCTACCTACGATCGTTATATCGAAAGAAAATACGGAAAATTAGAGGATAGTAATAAAAATAATACTTTTTAGTAGGAACATTTTTTTTGAGACATTTTTTAAAATGAAATGTTTTCATCATAAAAAAATAGACCATTTAATATAAAACGTACTTACTGCTTAAATCTCAGATGAAATATCTAATAAAATATGGTTTAAATTCGCTTTGATTTGATAAAAGCTGCACACTTGACAGACCATAGAGATTAAAGTAAGCGTATCCATGGAAACAAAATTGTTTGGAATAAAATTGTCAAACACAAGCCGAGAACAGGAAATCAGGAATATAAATTAGATACTTACCCATTTTAAACGAAAAGGTAAATACACCGAAGCTAATTTAAACACTGTAGTGTATATTTTCCATTAAAAGTCAATCAAGAATTCAGCGCCTTCTTTGTTACGTGTCACTCAAATTATCAGGATAAATTATGACTGAAAACAAACCAGATCAGAATAATATGAGGCCTGGCTTCTGCTCAGCCACTTGTGTCGATAAGGCGTCGCTCCACAAAGAAATAAAGAAACCTGAACCCAAGACTTCTGATTATTTTGAAACTTGCAACCTCCCTAAGAGATTCGAGCATCCGCGTGAGTGATTCAATTTTTATATTTTATAACTACTTCCAGCTTACTTCCGCTAGCGGCTTCGCCTGCGAGATCCTGTATTTCATCTAATATTTTTTATTTTATTTATTGAGGTAAACAAAACAGGTAACAGCCTGGTGAAAATACAAATTAAAAGTATGTTTTTTGGTTATTAAGGTTGCGACCCTTCAAATGTACATACTGCAAAGGCAAATTAAACAAATATATATTTAAATAACTATAACCTTATTTATAATTTCAATGTATTTTACATATAAACATTCCGATTCACTCTGTATATTGAAAACCGCATTAAAATTGTGTGCGATTTTGTTTTTAGACAATATGACAGTTAATAGAAAGATAATTTCAATAGGGAGCTTATAAAAATTACATGTCCATACTAATTAATTTTTCTAGTTCTCCTTCATCTTTTTTCGTTAGTATTTATAAGTATAGTATTTTAGATTGGAATTAAGAGGTTTACTGATATATATATATATATAAAGATTTTAAAAGAGTTCCTGGTATCGCAGTTGACGTTGACGCTAAAAATGCCAATGAACTTAATGAGGTCAAACCATGCGGGTAAGCAGTTAGCTTTAATAGTTAATCGATACTCATTGTTGTGAGTATTGTTGGAGCAGTATGCTAATCTTAATTCTAATATTACGTATACATAAGTATACTTCTGGTTTCAGAGATTTTGTCGCGTAGTACTGTTTCAATTTAAAGTATGTCTATAATGAGATAATGCAATCGTTCCAACTTTGTTAATTACATATCAATGAGTGAGTATTTGTATGATATGATGTTAATTGCTGTTGTTACTTTTACAATTTGTTTGATTATCGAAAGAGTTCGTCACCTATTGTTAACAATAATGATAATTTGGTAATGACGTGGTTTGTGTTAATATGGTTACTATTCATATTAAGCGTCATCCTTTTGTTACATAAGACGATTTTTGTCAGCTATTGCCGCACTTCCTTCTTCTATGTAAAGAAAAATAATAAATCGGCTGATTCTTTATTCCCTTCTGTCATCATTTTATTATATGCTTACGATAATCCATCATTATATTTCTCGTAGATAAATTTGATGGGATGATTTAAAGTGCTTTGATAAGCTAAGTAAAAAGCTATCACAAAAGTAGATACCTACTTAATTTATTAATCGAAAAACAAACTTCTCACTTTGAAAATCATTCAACAGGTCCTTGACACATTCAAAAAAATGACTATTTGGTTTGAATATGAGCTAATGAGTTAAAAACTTTGAAAAAAAGGTTTGTTTCAATTGACCTCTGCTTTAAAACTCCTTGGTCTCCCCTAGCTACTTCGAAATAGATGGCAAATTTGTCCACATATTTTTATTACCATTTTGGATATCGGTTTAGTATTACGTATTATTTTGATTTACAGATTGGTTTAACGGTTACGGATGTCAAGTTAGCAAGCAACACCCATTCTACAGGACCTCTGCGAGCGTCTATGGCTGGTATCCACCAGGTAAGATCGTTGTTGTACTTATTTATTGTTGCATTAACTGTTTTACCGTGACTTTCTCATCTAAATTGTAGACTATATCACCCGCAGATGATGTAGCTTCCCGTAGATGAATGAATTTTATGATTTCATTAGTATTTCCGAAGATTACCCTCTTACAAAAAAACAAAGTTGGAAACTTTACCTCTTTATAATATTAGTATAGATTAGGTTTGTAATTATAATAAGAGCAATTTGTATCGATTCTTCTTGTTTTTCATTTTGATTTTGGGTGATGATAATAAATCAAATGTAAACTACACACGGCTGCACGTCAAACTATATATTGTGTAATTTGTAGCGATCACGTTTTGTATAGAATACTTCCCTACTAACAGAGGTTTGCTTACGGTGGTGGTGAGTAGCGTGACGTGCGGTCGTGCGTACAATATGTATAAGGAGAAAAGATTTAACTATTTGCTTGCATTGAATATACTCCAAAATTACTGTAGCTATTTTAAAAATGGTTTCACCTATTGGAAACTACTTTGTACACGGGTGACGTAGGCTATAACTGACATAGGCGAAATAATTGGAATTATTATATAAAGATGTAGCAGTAACCGTAGCCTTAGCCGAGTGCTTCCGTTTGCCAGATCAAATTGAATTTATTTTAGTTTGTGCATTAATCTGGCTAACCGTAGTGACAACTTTCGTATTATACATTTATATCCTAAAAATCAATGTTTTGAAAATTATACATCTAAGATAGTTGTAAATATTAAATTTACCAAAATAACAATTTTAATAAGAACACTATTGTGAAAAAATGATATAATACTTTCCATTAGTATCTCCAAGGATCTACACGATTAATCAAATCTCCAAGTGGATTTTTTTTTCTTAGGGCCCCATTCGGTTCCTACAATCTATTTTCCGAAGAGCCAACAATTCTCCAACTTCTTGGCGCAATCTGGCATGTATCGGAACTACTCACTCAACACTGGAATGTCATCTTAAACTTTTTTATTTTAAGTGCTAATTTCCTAAAATTTGTATAAGAACAATATGTGTGTGAAAACATATACTGGTTGACTTACCTTTATTTAATATAAGTACTCATTTGGATATAATTTGATAATAATACTTTGAATAAAACTTATTCATGGAGCTTAAGGGTCAGTACAAATCTGATGGAAGATCCCTCTATTGTCTCAAGCGCTGGGATGATTAATAGATGAAAAAAGGAAATACTTAGAAAAATATTAGATACGGATTTTTTTTTGCTGCAATTTGACAGGAAACAGAAAATTTCTCGTCGAGTATATAAGGTCGACATCAACGTCTGATACGAGCCGTAAAGTTCGTAATCTTAGTTACTGTTAATTTTATGATATGCTATGAGTACTTATTGTATTAGGAGACACAACTAGTTATAAATATCCTATTTACTTTCTATTTGTTTTAAATATTTTGAATTTATTTCAATGTTTGTCGTTGGTACGTAGGTGTTATGTTATTTTTTTACTTTTTGCTCAATAGGTAATTAAGCAAAAAAAATAAGGGTCGTTACATATCTGACGGAAGATTTGTCGTGCGTGTGTACAGAACTATGGGTTAGTATGCGACGAAACATCCATCGAGTGTGCAATATTGTACGTCAAATAATATATATTTGTCTATTCTGACGTTACGCATCTTCAGTCTGATGGGTGTCGATCCTTTAGAAAATAGTGTATTATTGACACAAAAATAGCTCATCTATACATAATTATATCCAGTTATTTCGTATATTATTGGATTAGTATTATTTTAATATTTTTTTAAGATCATATTAACTGTTATTTCAATACTTGAAAGGTTATATTCTATACGATCATTCTTTTGTTTTAATTAATCGGAAAAACATTTGTTTATGTTTCTTTATCGGTTTAAGTGTTATCTAAATTAAACACTATCTACTCTAATTATTATACTACAATATGTTAAGTGTATCACAGTTTATTTCAATTAATAAATGTGTTGAATTTAAAAACTATTTCATTTATAAAAAAATATGTGGGTCAACCATTTCTTTTTTATATGCCTTGCCCTGTGTGATTCATCACAAATACACATAAGTATCAGTGACTACCTTTGCAAATTGCAGTCGGTTTTTTGCCAGTGTGACTAGCTTCACTAGGAAATAGTAATCTACCTTTTGATTTTGAGAATTCTGTTAACCTCCTCTTTTTCTTTCGTCTTTTAATAGACTACAAATTAAAAAAAATACATAGATCACCGTCGGTCACATAACCTCCTTCTTTTCGATTTTGAAGTCTGAAAAAGCAGGAGGTTCTATGTTCGATTGGTGTGTATGTTTTTTATATGTATTCTCAGATTTATCTGCGCTTTGTAAACCGTTTTTTTTTTAAATTATCGGAATCGAATCAGCAGTTCTGTTTTAACTAAATAAATCGAATTTTAGAGATAACTCGTGAAAATTTTGTATTTTGGCCCAATTAGAAGTCCGACATAAACGTGGTTTACATATACTTACAGTTTGTATTTTGACTTATTCACAATCCAGTTGAAATTAGTGAATATGGTTTTTTATTAAAATATAGGTGTCAGAGGAGTTCGAGTTCAGTGCTCGAAGCGCAGCGATTAGTATAGATGGTCTAAGGTTCTGGGTAACTGATGGGTAAGATAGGGTGGAATGGAATGGAAATTTATGACATATAGCTTTTCAACGTTTCGGAACGCATGTTAAGCTGTTGATTTTACTTGCATTTGCAGTCGTTAATCCCGGCGCTTGCACAATGAAACTGCGATCTAGGCAAAACACTGAAACTTGACGCCCTTGATAAAACCCACATTAGAAAGGCGTCCGTAAAAAAAACAAAACAATATAAAAATGTAGGTATATCGATTGAAAAGTGTAATTTTGTAATCAGCAAAAAATTTTGAAAATTTCGTAGGTACTATTGAATACCGCGGACGGACTTTGTTCAAACAAAAGTGTTTTTTTTAAGGTATTGCATTTTTGAGAGAACTTTTAAGAGCAAAGATAATCCGTATGCCATACCTCCAAACACGAGGGGTAACGTTCAATCTCCCTAATTGAATGGCCTAATTGAATATGCATTCGCTATCGGAAATTAGGTTGATGATGTTCAGCGTCAGATACAATACCAGCACGAAAGTAAACCGTGCGCATCTACTGCGCTTTGAAATATATAAAAAATAAAACAGACTGCAAAACAGATAAAAAATATTTATTATTTAATATGGCGGTTAATATATACCTATTCGAGAAACATATATTTAATGTCGAGCGCAAAGACTGTGTATGTCGGCCGGCTGAAATTAATAATCTTCACAAAAATTTTGGGGTTACATTCATACCGTGTACTGTACTTATAGTTGAGGTAGGTAGAGTAAAGTAGTCTATACTAATATTAGTTTTAAAAAGGAAAGATTTGGTTGTTTGTTTACATTAAATAGGCTCCGAATGACTTAGCTCACCTACGGGAAGCTAAATCATACGCTATGATTTTAAGAACTTACGGGTTACATTACATACAGTTATTACATTTTATGATGAACATTAAATTAATCCAATCCGCATTGGGCCAGCGTGGAGGGACATGGCCCTTCCTTCTTAATCATCCATAAGGAAGGCCTGAGCCCCTGCAGTGGGGACGTAAAAGGGTCGATGATGATTAAATTAATCAAGATGTTGACTTACAGGGATCCATTCGGTGACATCAGTATTTTTCCCAGCAGGACAAACATTCACAAACCGACTTGCTGCTGCTGGGATGTACCGGAACTACAGCCTTAACACTGGAATGGACCCAGTTGGATACTAATATGATGGAATTTGTCTTATAAATATATTATATATTATAGTATATATATATATATTGTTGTTCGTTTGTCTCCAAAGGCTGAGCCAACTTAGCTTATGTTGGTTTTGAAATTTATTTCGTAATTCTGGGAAGGGTTAAACTGTGACAGGTAACATGAAGTTCACACGATAATTATTTGTTTTTGATAAAATATACAAACATCTGATTTATAAAATATGAGCGTTCTGAGTTATATTTGTAATATGAAATATTTCTTTACGTTGTTTTTGTGTTCCTAATCTCTTTCTTTATTTGATTAATTAATTTATTTTATAGCAATCTGTGTCCTTATTGTGTGCTTTTTCATTACGATTCGATATATTTTTAGTTTTAAAAGTTTTATTCTTGCTTTTATTCTATCAAATAAATATGTTATCCAAGTATTTATTGTTTTATTTCTATAGGTAATCGTTACGAGTTTTCAATTGAAATTTAAGTCCGTTTGATATGTTTGATCTAAGTATATATTTTTTTATTCCAAAGAACTATCCGAATTTCTAATCAATGTTCTCAATTCAAAAGTAAATGAAACAACATGACCGCAAAGTCGGTATGTATTGACTTACCAAAAGAGGTATTTATTATAATTATTATTATGTATAGATTAACATGCATTCAAATTCCATTAACATATTCCATTTGAACGAAGACATGACAGTCACATTATAATTATTGCTAAAACACATGAAAATACGGCTACTACAGGTTGTGGTTGTCTTGACAATTATATTTTTATATATTAATCTCAATTAAAAAAGGAAATATAATTTCATACACCCAAAATAATACTTAACGGGTACTTTATGCTATTTGTAATCAAACTGCATAAAGCGGTGCACTTTAAGTAATGTTTGGTGCATCTTAAGTATTTTTTTTGTTCATCTCTAGCAATTTTTAATATACCTTTAGTAATTTTTGGTGTACCGCTAGTAATTTCTGGTGCACCTTTAATTTTTAAAGCATATCTACGCATTGTTCACATTTAGTAAGTCTTGGTGCACATTTAGTTAATCTGTTGTTAAAGTTAGTTCGGCGTTTTAATACAAATCTTTATTAAGACCCTACTGAATAAAACAGATAGATTTTGTCAGTAGTTAATTTTTTTGCTTAAGGAGTTTGCCTTATCACTTTTATATTTAATCGTTTATTAGATAAATCAGCAGTATGTATAATAAGTGCATACACTTATAATATTGTACATCGAATAACTTACACATATATACTACAAAATGTGACTTGTCATGTCTTCATTAGATTTAATCACGATAAATGTCAAAAAGGAGTTACGATACAGGAGCTCCAGGTGCGAAGTAAGGCGTGGAATGTGGGCCACCGCCAAGGCCTCGCTATACAAAGGCCAGATTTTAAATCAATAAAAAATTAACGTAAAATTTGCATGCCACAATCACTCTTAAACTTAAACTGAGCAAAAATATGATAATGATCATTCATGTTTTTGTTAGATTTTATTTTAATAAACCGAATAAAATTTTCTTTAATTCTTTTAGCGCCATCAGAAGTCCTCGCTAAATGTGCAGGGCCCACATTTAGGTCTTACGCCGCCACTGAGAAGCTTCATCTGTTATCGACACCCACTTCATTCGACTTTTATCTATGACACTTGCGAAAACACTATTTACTATTAATATTTAATTCCATACGAGTACATATTGTATAACTTGTCAGCAACAACAACAACAGCAGTTATATTAACTTTAGTGTTTATTTATTATTATTTTAACAGTCAACAAAGAGAGAATTAATCTTATATGACAAATAAAAATATCCTGATTAGTTAACAACAAATTAGAACTTAACTAAACATATAATTTGCTACTATGACAATATAAAATAAATATACAAATATAATTTATGCATTTATATAGTTAATTATCTAGTTGCGCATTTTATAGACACTTAGGTATAATTTAGTTACTAGTACACCGTGGCTGTTAAGTACTAAGTTTTATGTGTCATTATTTACCTACAAGTGCAATATATTTAATCTAAGCGAACTATTAATTTATAATTGTATATATGTAGATATAAAAACAATATTGACATCAGCTTCGATAGATGAATTCATCTCGAACAAATCTATAATTTATCAACTTCAAGATGTAAAGGAATTAATAAGGTTTTAAGTAATTATTCCACCTTAATATATTGAGTTATAACTTACGTTATTTAATAAGTATAGCTATTTTCGTTGTAAAATCTACTGTAACAAGTGTATTTTTGTATCAACCTAGAAGATTGTAATGTGACGTCAAAAAATCTTAACGAATACGGCGCTCTTTGCGCATATATAATATGTTTATATAATTTTCTTCAACGTCATATTATAGTAAGTAGGTTTCATATGAATCAGCTAAAGAACAATTTATAAAAATTAGCTTAATTATACATTTTCTAAGAAGATATGAAAGCACAATGCACTTGATGTGATGGATAAACACCGATTCTTCCTGATATGACTATCATCAGACTTAAGCCAGCACAAACGTTCGCCGCAAACAAACAGTTTTTTAATTATTGTATATTCAACGAGAGTAATACTCGAGAAACAAATATAATGGAGGTCGTTTCATCTTTCATTAAACAACTGACAAACACCTGAATACATGATGATGACACAACATTTAATGCAGCAAAGAAAGAAATGTGTGTAACAAGTAGAGCAGATAACTCGGTTTTGGTCATTTTAATATTTATTTTTTTAAATTTTAAAATAAGGAACAAGTGAACCTTAATACATCGCCGCTGGCAACGGTATAAGCTTTGTCTAAATTGAAAATTTTAATTTGATTATATCTAAATTAGAACGCCTTAAAGTCCCAAATGGTCAAAAGGGGGACAGTGGTCCAAGCCAGGTCATCTGCCCTACAATGTAGTATTTTCTGAAATCTAAAAAAAATTAATAAAACAATTTTTATTATAATCGTGTAACAGGAATTCCTTAACTCTACGAGATACAACTAGTAATAAATAAGTTATATTAACCGTGAATTAATTCTTGCATATAACAATATTGTCTTTAATAGCATTGCTCATATTACATTTCAATGCATAATTGCCATCGATTTAGATTTCCATGCGGGTATGTTTTATATATAAATAAACAACATTTACAAATGACTGTTATAAAATATTGTTTCTCTGCGAAATTGAATATTAATATTTTGAACTAATTAATTTGTTAAAATAAAAAAAAAATGTTTTCCCTTGGTTTTGGTTCTTTTCTGCGACAGTTTATTCGCATTATTATTTTACATATAAAATTATATAATAATAATTATTGCATAGAAAAATCGACCACCCCATGAGGTAATCGCTCCCAACATCTTTCTTATTAAGAACAGTATATTCACATTTCCAGCATTCCAATATCATACGAGAAATTTACAATTGGCTTTTTTCTAGAAACTTTGTAATTGTTTGTCGATTGAGGAAGATAGTGAGTAAAACCTTATTTCATTAAAATTATATTGCGGCGTTAAATATTTTCCCATCTCGAATATTCTATGAAAATCCATACGTAATTTGATGTTGTATGCAAACCGTTATTCATTGTTCGTTAAAGTGAAAATAGAAAGAGATATAGAAGAAACACTACGCACGACGCGTCCGTCCGCGTCGAGCCCAACGGGTCAATCACAATGCAGCTCAGTTGATTCGTATTTTCATATTTATAATAAACTTATTATAAAAAATCTATAGTTATTTTACATTAAAACTAACTTTACTTTTCTGCTATTTACGCGGTTGCAGTCTGTACACCGGGTTCCCTTAAAACGTTTATTGAAGTAGGGGACTGGGATAGATCATTGTATAGGGTTTGGTGGGCTAACTGCCAAATAGTCATCGCCCAGAGCGATTCCGTAGAAATCCGAATACGAATTCAAATTCACTCAGCTGTCCTGAAATTGATACTATCGTTTCGTGGCATAAGTGAAGACACAGGGATAGAATATTTAAGACACGTATGAATCAATAAATTTTGTTTTTGTATATTTTTATACAAAAAGTGGAATCAATATAATTTCTGTTACTTAATGACGTTGATTAGATCACCTGAGTTAATTCGAATTCAGGTTCGGATTTTTACGGAATCGATCAGCAGTGGTCACCGGTGTTGCGTTATTCTATCACGACTGTGTATTTCATCCCGCGGGTTGCGAGTCATATCAAGACAAATTAAGCAATGTTAATCTCATGTCGGAACACTAACTGCTATCGATGTTTTGATAATTATTTTACCTAACCCCATAATCAAAAATTCCCGGTTTCACTCACAGCTAAGTAGTTGAATTTTGTACTGAAGAAGGTTTTAGAAATCAAAATATTCGGCTTGGTTTGAGCAATAATAAGGGAGGACATAAGTTTTTATGTATTTCTCAGGAAAATTTGGACGTCTTGAAATTGGATGTATAACAAAAATTCGAAAGGGGATTTTACAAAATTGTTTTCTTCGAAGTTTGTTAGCAGATTCACTTCGAATGAACCAATGTAATAAATATTATGAAAACGACAACGTTTGGGAAGTTACACCGCGCCTCTTGCAAAGCTGGTTTACATGTCGCCGAAAATACCGGCAAATGTCTTCCTAAGATTCTTCATAGTATCTTCCGCGTCTTCGGTGAGAGCCGCGCTGAGAGAGCCTTGACGGGCGAAGCCCCCACGACCTCCCGCTGAGCCCGTAGGTGGCGCACTACCAGGAGCTGCGCTACTGGCTGTACTGGGCGCTGCTGATACTGAGGAGACCGTCGACGATTGAGAGGCTATTAGAAAAAAGTTATGATTATCACAATTTGACTATCAACAAAGCTTGAATCTGAATCAGTTTGCGTAGTTATTGTTTTCGAAATACAAAGTCGGTGGTCAAACCCGTCGTTCATGTTGTTCTAGCTGTGTGGTTTTAACTATTGGACAAAAGCATATACATGGCTCAGATATAACCTCAGATCACAAACTATATAGTTAAAGCCGTTGAATAATTAGAATCCGAAACAACCAAGATACCTCAACACCCAGTCCAGAGACTATATAAAAAGGTGCATATGGTGAATTAACCCGATCGCGAAGAATCCGGTACTTTCGAGGCGGTGACGTCTTGAAAACCGTATGCAAATCATTATATGACAGAGGTCATCACCTTGGGAGTCACGTCTCGTAAGTGGAGGTGGCGGTGGTTGCGAAGGCTCCGCGGGTATAGGAGGTAGCGGACGATCTATGCTAGCCGCAGAAGCAAGGGGTGCTGGCGGGGGAGCACTAGGCGGTCCTGATCCCGGTAGCGGCACTGAACGCTCCTCAGGTGATGTTGCCGCAGAGCTGCCCGACACGGAAGCTCTCGATGTAGTCTTTGTTAGACCCGGTCGGCAGACGGCCTGAAATAATTAATTTCATTTAACAAACCAGCTCCGTCTTATTCAACTTCTCTCAAATAACGGTAACTTTTACAATACGGGTAGGTCCATTTTTTCCCCTACACTTGACTTGCTTCCTCGCTTGTGTGTTTCATCATGATAATTTATTAAATTGTACTTCACGTATTTGGGTTTGAAATTTAATAGCATTTAGTTAAAGTAATAGTTATTTTTAGTCGATTTGTGATTATGGAGATTAATTTTCGCAAAAGTCATCCTATAAATGACCAAACATTTTATTCTAGCTCTTTTCCATACTTCGAAGGGCACAGTCGTTAAAATCCTCACTCCAATGAGTGGTGGATTATGGTCCATTTCCATTACGTATTTCTAAAAATATGCACAGTAGTCAGTTTATTAAAAACTGCATGGGTACTCACCTGCATTCGTTGTAGTACCAAGTCAGCTAGATGGCGTCTGTCTTCCTCTTGTGAATCACCCATGAACGAGGTGGCGGAGTCGTTTAACTCAATAATGTGCTCCCTACCGTCTTTACCGACCACCAATTCCAGTGCGCAAACTTCCAACCCTCCAAATATTTCACTGACCTGAATATATATCAATAATTATTATTTATTAGGAAGTCTTAAAAACGGGGAGCAAGTTTGAAAAGAGTTATTAACGTCAATTGAATGCAACACGCGTCCGCCTCAAGACATGGTCTTACCATGTCTTATTGCGCTCGTACGCTTTTCTAACTCGTAAGGGATTTGGCATGAAGATAAACTGTTTATATTCTAGATGGACTAAAACTAACACAATATTAAAATCTTTATCAATTTCTAATATTAACCGGTATTAAAAGCTACGAGTTCGAAAATGAAAGTTAGGCCCTTGATATCTTATAAACGATTTAACAAAAGAGAAGTATTTAATACGCGGATATTAATAACATCACCTCGTCAATCCACATTTTGTATCTGTCGTTCATACCGATGGCTTCAAGCATAGCAGAACCCTGGTTAGTTTTCCAATTGCCAGAAATAGACTTGCGCCTGTAACATAATGACTTTCTTAGATTTGGGTTACATATACTACTGTATACCAGCCTTAATTCTGCAAATATTTCAAATGTATTCAATTGGGATACGTCAATACATCAAAGGCGACAGATTTTTTGTAGAAAGAACTTCAACAAAAACAAAATGTTCTTGAAAAAGTCTTGTTTAAGTCCAGAAATCAGAAAATACCATAAAAATTTTAACCCCTTAAGGGTTGAATTTGATTTTTGAATGTGATTGAGTGATTTTGCGCTTTTATATATATAGAAATTAAGCTTATATATTATGTGGCGTTCAAAGGGGGAGGCCTATGTTCAGCAGTGGACGTCTTCCGGCTGATGATGATGATGATGATATTATATATTGATCTTTGGGGGAGGCCTATGCCCAGCAGTGGGCGTCTCTCGGCTGAAGTGATGATGATGATGATGAAGCTTATATATTATAGATTACGGTACGAGTACATTAAGAATTAGTGAGTTATTAATATTATAAAACTTTTATGCGATTTTCAGCTCAATATCTCAAACAGTAGGTAGGTAATAAGCAGTGGTCGGAATTAGGAAGAGTTATTCATGTACTTACACTGATTTCATACAGTGAAAGAATAAAGTGGATATGCCTCAAATCCCGAGATTAATTTTAAAGAGCAGAAAAAATCCCGTGATTTTTTAAATAACAAGTTATTTACTTTTACACAATTTAAACTACTGCACGCACGACGTTGCCAAACTTACATCAATGACATCGGATGTCTAAAGTTGCAAAATAGCAATACGCGCGATGTTGCCACATTTGTAATTCGCACAACATAGCTTGTGAGAACAAAAGAATACAATAGCGCAAATGCGGAGCACTCCCCACTTAACGTAATGTACTAGATTGTGTCTCTTTCTACCGCATTCAAACTATCTAAATCCCGGGAAGGTCCACATTCATATCAACATTTCGATGCAGGTACATGAATAACTCTACCTAATTTCGACCTCTGGTAATATGCCTAACAATACACATAGAAGTTTTTTATCGTAACGCCTTTATCTAAATTCCGCTTGAATCTTTAGATAGTTAAAATTTAAAGCAAGAGAATATCAGGCGTGACTGACTGAACTTTCTTAACAACATATAGGAATAACTTAAGAAACATGAGTTTTTAAATTATTGAAATTGTATATATATACCTAACTATTCAATTTTTGCGTGATGCAACTTTCAGATTTATAATATTAGAAAGATAAAACTTTCGATGATAAAACTGTAGAAATTTTAGACAAAAAGTACCTATAATTGCGAACCCAAGAAGTTCGCATCTATTCAGATTATCATATTTTGTTTTTCAAGTACATATCTTCACAGAAAATATTTTTGTTTTATTTTTGTGGGTACCTTAGATGCATTATTTAATAGATACTGTTCTTATTTTTTAATGACTTCCTAATCATCCAGATTATTCGCTAAGATTGAAACAATAAGGAAATAAAAATATCAATTTGGAAAAGTGAGAGGACTTTTCAATATTCAATGTCTGTAGTGAATTATTTCAGACTGCTAAATTCGCATTATAAACAGAAACAATATGTAGCGAGGAGAGACTTTTCCCTTGATTTAATTTTCAATTATAGCTTGAGTCCAGCTATCCATCTATGTCTATTTTATTTAAATACTAAGTACCTGTTTAACTTACGGATAATTGTAAACTCTTATCTCAATGAATAATTTCGATATTACTTACATAAAAGCTTTGTAGTTGGTTCCGATTTTCTGTATATGAATATCATATTTGGCATCTATGTAAGGTTCTACCGTACAGTATGTGCCTAACATCGCAACCACGCCAGCAATATCCTGAAATAACGTTTAATATATTTAAATCAATATCAAACAGCAAATTCAAAAGTCATAGCAAATTACACCATTACTCAATTCACTTGTTAAATCCTCACATCTGCTGAACAACAACAGGGCTTTGGAAACTTTCTAGAATTAGTACCAGTTTATTATTTAACAGACACCTGTACTGAGTTACAACAAAGTTTGTTTTTGTTCAATCGCTAGGCGCCAACGTCAATAGCGATTATGCTGCATGCGTCTATAGTAGTTGATACAAAACAGATTTTCTGATAAATATACCTGCACCATCAGATAAACTAGTTCTTGGATTTATTTTCGTTAAGTCAAGAATTTATAATATTTACTAACAACATAATTTTATATTTAAAAAGAAAAATGTTTAAGTTAATATAATAAATTATATTTGCTATAATTTTTAATTTAATAAGAATAAGCTAGCGCTATCTACATCTCATCTATATAAGTAATTATCCAGTCTCTGAAGTTGCCTGGAAGACAATACCATTTAACGGTAAGGCCGCCGATTGTACCCTTAAACTCTATCAATTTGTCACGTTAATTAATTTTGTTGTACAATAAGTTAATTAACTCATTCAACCATAACAAATATTACATTCTAAGGATCGCATAGTTTGTCAGATATTAAATTAAGTATATAGTTAAAATATTTTTATTTTGGAAATTAAAAACAACAAAGGTAACACAACAAAAGTGTAATCGAATATTTAGGTGGTCTTATTCAGAAAACTATTGCAAGACTATTGCATTAGTTATTTGTCAAAAAACTTTTCACATTCCCTCGATTTATAAGAGCCATCCTGTACTTTTGTAGTATTGCGTTTAATAATAGAGTTTTTATTATTGTACTTGCCTGGAAGTCGGCGAGAGAGTCCACTTTTACTTTGGCCACTCCGCTGTGAGCGTGGCCTATCTTGATCACAACTGGGAACTTTGGAGCGGTAACCTGCAACAATGATACTTCAGTGGTTAGCATTAATTCAACATTCAATACAATGTCAAGTCATTCATTCGTCTCGCTAGGTCATGGGTAGCTTAGTGGCGTAACTACAGGGTGGCAAGTCAGCTGGAAGGGGCCCCGGTCAGAGGAAACTCCTTACTCCTGACATTTATTATTACATAATTTGTGAAAATATTTCTTTCGCCCGCTTGGGTAGATTGCCTGAACATTGAAAATACGGTCTGTTGTAGCGAAAAACTAACAAGTGCTTTAAAAATTCGTCAGCTGTTAGGTTCTGGGTAGCTGTTTTCCCGCGACTTCGCCCACGTAATTTATTACCTATGACACCCGCGTATGATGTCGCTTCCCGGAGATAAAAGAATATTGAAATCTGTCCAGTAGTTCGGAAGCTATACAATCAAATCTTTCTTCTATAAAATATATTTTAGAACAGTTTTTCAGATATTGCAAACTTTACCCGGTTGTTGATTAAGCTTAAATTTTCTATACATTTAAAACTTGGATAGTTTTATAATATAAATATAGAATGTTTCCTGATCTGGATAGAACCGGTAGCTATCCGAGTTTTGTAATTCAGCGAAACATCATCGAGTATGATTTGTCTTGACTCGGAACGTGTTTGTACTGCATCCATGCATTACGGGTCAGTAGTGTATAATAGAATATTTTCAATAAAATTGCTTTACAACCAAGTTTAATGTTTTATTGCAGTATTTTTGCTGTTAAAAATATTTGTCTTTTGATTAGGAAGATTATTCTACTATAATGGTATATAGGTCATATGCTTAACAGGTAACCGTTCGCATATCCCGCCAGCCCGCCTCTCAGTACCTCTTCATAGGACATACCGTCCATCCTAAATAATTTAAGTTATTTCTATTCCTATGTATATTTTAAATTGCACACTCTTACCTCACATGTTCACATGTTTTCGCATAATATACGCACATGATATAAATTATTATTGTTTTACAACAATATTTCGAAACACTTGGGCAATGTTGAAAACAAAGGTCTATTTATTATAGGTATTGTAACGTGTGTAATTATAGGTTGCTTGCTAGAATATGATATGGTAACGGCGTACGTATGAACTGTTAAATTCATTGCCTTTAGTTAATTTTACGGCGGCGATAGGAATCTAAATAGCGTTAATGCACGAAGCGGCCCATACGGCTGTGGTTACAGTTCAGAAACAATTATATATGATCGATTTATGTAATAATTCCCCTCCATTATGGATAACGAGGCTCTCAATATTTATTTTCCTGTTAATATAACGGGAAGTTGAAAATAAATCCTTCAATTTCAAGATTGGGTAGCTCTATTATTTGACGAGGCTTTAACTTTTTGCTGAAATGAAAATGTCTTTATTCAAGTAAGCTTGTTACAAGCACTTTTGAATCGTCCAAAATTTTTTTTCCTTTACTACTCGTTCAGGACGTCTTTTAGCTGACAAGAAGAACAAGCAAAAACTTATCAGCTGTTTATCATAAGTAATGCTAACTATAAAGTTGACGTTGGCTTAAAAAAATCATGAAATCTGTATAATATGTTTTTTTTAAGAAAGGATTTTACCGCTAATATTCTTAATATTAACAAGTCTATGACAATTATAAAAATATGAGTTTTTATCTTTATTGAAAAATAATATAAAAACTCATCAGTCTCAGGTACCTCGAGATGGGATCCCACTCTTTTCCAATCAACAACCTTTCGTAATCTAGGCAACTGCTCTAAATGTTGAAAAACAACAGGACCGACAAATGTTTCAAACACTTATTGCTTTTCGCTGCTAGTCAGCTTTTTCATCGGTGTTCAGGCGATCTACCCAAAAAGCCGAAAGAAATATCTTAAACTTTCTAATAAGATGAAAATTCGATCTGTGATTTACCGTTGTATTGTAAGTTCAGTGGATGTAAAAGAGTCAAAAATAGAATTGTTTAGTAACATTCAAATACTAATTGATTTATCATTCTTCTGTACAAAAGACCGATTTCCGTCACATAGTCTCCGATCCCCACATGAAATAGAATTAACAGGCATATTTTTTTCTATGTTTAACGTATTTGTTCTTACTATTTCGTCTCAAAAACCCACTCTGTATTTGAGTTATCCCTTGGGCAAATAGAGCAATTCCTGCTCTAGTTATTACGCTGTGTTTTCCTTCATTTATATTGGTATTGTGTAGAAATTCTTGTTAAATGGTTTTCTTTTCTACCTGTGTCACATATTATTATGCGATTCTGATGTTACAAACTACAGTAAATTAGATTTGATCTTCAATCAACAATGTTTTATTACTATAAAGTTGTGTTTAAGATTCTGAAAATAACTAAGTAGACAACCTATAATTACATGTAACAACAAAATAGCTAAAAATAATATTTTTTTTAATAATATAGTTTTTTAATAATATTTTTTTTAGTAATAATATCTTTCAAAACGATGTTTGCCCATGTAAATAATAAACTATGTCACCCACGTATCATGTAAAATGCCGTAAGTGAAATATTTTTTAAGACCAATCTAGTAGTAGGAGCCGTTTTCAAGGCAAACCAACGAACAATTAAATCTGTCTTAATATTAGTATCTTTTTTATTAGAACGGTTGAAGCACTCTTACATAACGCTTTTAAACAACTATTAAATAACTGTTGGTTCTTCAATATATTGGAATAGAATAATAGTAAACTGTGATAATAATCAAGTATATGAAACCCATTATATGTACTGTACTTTGCTATTAACCAATTATAGAATAGTGACGTGAAAATAAACGTCAATAAAGTAACAATCATAACGTACGAATGCTATTTCAACAGAATATCGTCATGCATGACCCTTTTCACGGAAGATTGATAGAAAATATTGGCATCGATTCAATAAACAATCGATTTCTAAAAGTGAATATCGCATTTATAGTTTCAATTTAATATTACTTAGTATGAAACTCAAATAAAATGTAACGTCATATTTTTATCATTTGTCTAATACTGTGTGGCAATACTGAAGCTCTTCTTGTACTTTTTATTTTGTATAACGTAATCGACCATATCATTATAAAATTACAGGTTAGCTTCCCGCAGTTTTGTACGTAAAATACTTAGTTTGGTGTACTGCACATAAAATTTTGTGCACTAGATTTTCATATGCTATTATATCAGTAATATTTTAATTATAACAGAGAAATTGGGGAATATTTAAACGCCTTTAGATAGGTACTGGTCTATGGTAGATGGGTTTTGCACTTGCATTTAATGCACCTATTACTAGAAGAAAATACTATGAACGGGTCAACTAACGATTTAGTTTATTATAGCATCTCCATTTGTTCCTTTGATTAGATAACATATCACTCCACTTTTTCCACAATAATAAAATGTTCCATGTAGGACACATTTTCATATCATAATATTTATAATTTTTTTATTGCTTTTGTTGTACAATTTTTAACAAAACTAATAACTTTTCGAATTTGCATTTTCAAAGAATCCATAATGAATCCTTTAATTTATGAAAAATTTCAATCATGCATGATTCACTTTTGCCAAAGGTTTCGCATCCACTTATATAATAACTTGTCACACGATCAAACAAAGAAACTAACAAACAAGAGTGCGGTACGTGCAGAATTGAGGGCTAATTGTCTTATTTTAAAATCTATCGCCATTCCTTTCCATTTGGCATTTGAAATATATTCACGAACTTCACGATGAACTTGAGAAAAAAGAAATGCTATCTCCCATCTTTCAACAGTTTTATGTGATTTTTTAATATGTTTCTTGATCATTCAAATCATCATTCGTTCCAAAAGCTATTAATACTTTAAAATTTATGTAATTCCATAAATTGCTATCACAATTTTTGTTTGTTTGTCCGTCAGGTAGAGTGTTAAAAAATATTAAACACGTATTTTTTTATTTTTTTCGTAATCATAAAATTACGGCGTTACATTGAGTTGAAATTTCGTATGACGTCACGTTGGAGTACGTTTTCTACTCAACTGTGACGTAGCAAACCCCCACTCCTCAACTTTAATGCCTGTTATCTAAGCTATTTCTTGTTAAATTGAAGTAAAAAAAAATACGTATCTAATATTTTTCTATTATCTGACTGACGGACTAAATAGAATTGCAATTTTTTTACCCAGTCATCATCCCTATTAGCCCACTGAGCGGTTTAAGCAGATCATCCGTCAATACTTAAGAACATGTTAAATATTAATAATATCGTGTTCTTCCAATATTGACACAGCGTGTGACGTCATGAGGTGTTCCGATGCGCTCGAGTGCTGGCGGGGGCGGGCACCGTGGGCGGCTTTACCATCGCTTGACGCGAACCGACTTCCCGCGTCGCCGACCGATGTGTCATTCTAACTACAAAACATCTTTATTTCACCTTAAATAACTGCTTAAGGCAAAGTGATTTATCACAATTCCCTTAACTATTATGTCACTCCGTCTGTCGTCATTCCAACAATCCTTCAGACATTAACCTTTTATGGTACTCGTATACCAATGTCATAAATTTAAAGCGGTTTCCTGAATATAGATGCATTTATGGTGCCATATTCCAACCGTCATGAATCCACTTAACGTGTACCATTTGCACTTTAGCTCGATGATATCTTTAGATCAATCTACGAGATAACATCATGGAAACTATGGAAGCATTCAATTCAAATATCTGAGCTGCTGACAATAGCTCTTAATGATTATAAACAGTTGAGAAATAATCCGCGAAGTCTCTATGGCATATTTTATTGTAAAGGACACGACAATTGTCGTTTATCAACTTAACTGCCGCCTTTGTAGTTGGACGTTATCTATCCTTTTACGATAGCGAATCAGTGTCAATTACAATGAGTCGGCTTCTAATATTAAATTAGTTTGTTATTTTACGTAAGCAATCCGGTTCGCTGTTGTCATACGTATGCATCTTATCTACTTTATGTACATAGGTACTGTATTTTCACCAACTTAGCTAACATAAATTTGTGGAATATCTTGGACCTATACTTTATAATAAATGCAATAGACTCCTATCCATATACCCTTTAAATAGGTATCAATGTAAAAAAAAACTGTTATAATATGGATATCGAGTTTAAGCTATAATGAAACAGAAAATTTGCTTATTAGTCGAACTTAATCGTATAAATATATTTTATCTTTATCATACACTTACTCACATCCACGCACCCGCACACACATACACATATACTCACCGTCACACACACTCACACACACACACACACACACGCACACACACACACACACACACACACACACACACACACACACACACACACACACGCACACACACACACACACGCACACACACACACACACGCGCACACACACGCACACACACATGCACACAAACTCACACCTGTAATTTTATCTATTTCATATTTCTCCTTTTTAAACAATATTAAGAACATTAACTCCTGTACTTTTGTTATACTACTAGAATCATATGTTCGGTTGTGAAGGCCTAGTGTTCTGTAGAATAGGATTATCCTAGTATCGATCACCAGTCTCCGTTTTGGAATAGAATAAGAATAAAAGGACAACAGGGATGACGACTGGGTAAAAAAATGCAATTTTATTTAGTCCGTCAGTCAGATAATAGAAAAATATTAGATACGTATTTTTTTTACTTCAATTAAACGAGAAATAGCTTAGATAACAGGCATTAAAGTTGAGGGGTGGGGGCTCGCTACGTCACAGTTTAATGGAAAACGTACCATAAAGTGACGCCATGCGAAATTTCAACTTCTTGTAACGCTGTAATTTTATGATTACGAAAAAATAAAAAAATACGTGTTTAATATTTTTTAACACTCTACCTGACGGACAAACAAACGAAAATTCGTCTTCATCCCTTATTGTAACTGTTATAATATGCGGAGAAAATAAATAAAAATATTATTATTATATTATTATTATATAACATACAACAAACGTGATTTTTTGTTTGTTTCCGCTACGGAATCTTACGTGCGCGAGTCCGACTCGCATTTTGCCGGTTTTTTCGTCTGCCCTATCAATAAAATTTACTAAACAACATTTAAAGTTACTTGAACATACTATTCCTGTTAACTGGTGTAATAAAAGTGTTTGCTATGAAAAGCTTTATTTATCAAATTGTAAATGTGTAACCGTATAATGTATGTCGACACGCAATCGTTCTGTTTTGTACTAATTTCTGTTGCTGTTGACCTTTCAAGGTGAGTCTTAGTCACGGATAGTGCTACGTATGTGATTAGTACTTTATCATAGTGCATGTTTGAAAACCGATAATACTATTGAAAATTATAATTATTCTTATGTGTTTTGATAAGAATGGTACCTATTCATTCCATCGATAAGTTATGAAACCATTATTTAAGTGGTGTAAAAAAGGTGTTGTTTTCTTCGATGATATAAATATATTGTCGAAATATTTGTTTTATTTTGCTTCCAATTAATTATAATGATATAATATACGGGTAAATTTTCTTACTTTATTTGTTTGTAGGCGGAAACCTTCGGAAATAGTGATCCGAGCATGAAAATCTGTCACATACGGTAAGCTACACCGTACATGTGACAATAATCTAAACAGACGCGGGAAAACAGCTAGTTTTGTTAGAAAAATAATCGTCCTAATTAGATTTTGTCATTTTTTTTGGACCGCCTCAACGAGTAATATCTTATTTAAACTTTTAATTGTTATTAGATAATTACTACGAGTATTCCGTTATTGGGTAGATGCAGTGGGAGGAAAGGAGGGTGGGTGGGGCGGTCTGCCCCAGTCCTCCGGTGCCTCCCTCAAATGGATGCAGGTACTAAATGGATGCAGTTCCGTCAAATAATATAATTAAGTAAAAAATATATACAGGAGGTGGGGGGTGGTGGGCGGTTGTAAACGCAATATCAAGTTCTACCCCGGTTGGAAAATGTTGTCGACCCAGGCCTATGGCCGCCCCGGGCGTAGGCGAATACTTTTAACTTCAATCAAAACATCGATGTAGCCATTATAAAGTTTCTCTACTGTTTCATATTGTTGTTTACATTTTGTTACCGCAATTTGTACAAACATGAAAACTTCGAGACGCCAGAATTGAACCTTTTAATTAAACCTCATTATCATAATCCTAATTGACAATCCGAAGATATTTCATGCACTCATAAACGTCGAGAATAAGAAGAAGCAAAAGAAAAGTTGATTGTTAAGTAATAGAGGAAGAAAGAAGTTCAATAGGGGTGTGTAGACAACTTTTTATTTAATTTATTTAAATTTTTTAGATATACATAAAATATATCATTCATATGTCGCATCATCATTACGAAGATCGTTTGATTTAGTTTCTTTTATTTTAATTGCTAGTTACTCGATTACTTAATTACTCGATTGTAAAGAGAGCGTGATCATCGATAACCTTATTTATTTTTCGTTATTTTAAAGATAGTCCTCCGATACGGACAATCTATTTGGGCTTCGTAATAACCCATTCGGACTACCCGCCGTTACATATAATAAGTTAAAATCTAAAAATAAATTTAATTTTCAAGATTTCAAAACGCCATCTCTGCCATGGCGTCGCTATGACGTCACGGCACTTTGAAACGAATATCGTTCTTTGTGTCGCAGCCAATTGGTTAAAATAGCCGTCCAATTGGGCGGCTAGTCATGTAATTGAATGGCATCATTCAATTGTATGCCTAATTTTCTAGTTAAAACATGACATTTGGATTGTTCAACAAGATGGCTGGTTTAAAAGCCGCTCAAACGTTCATTTAGTTTTGTTATCTATTAAAAAAATAAACTCGAAATTTAAGTCGATTCGAACTCTACGCTAAACTCGTAATTTACGCCACGCTTCGCGATCGTTTTAAATTTCTAACTTATCGACTTACAGGACCGAAATAACTTCGTTGTTTATCATTTTATGTTGTTTGCACCAAACTTTGAAATCGTAATAAACATACTAAAGCCAACGCAGTCAAATACATTGCCTACTTTGCTTTCGATAGATGGCGCTGTGGCCCTCTAAATCACGATATATCTTGTCTTTAAATAATTGTATTAGTATTAAAAATCTATTATGCTTATATTAAACTATTTAAGCTTAACCCACTTGTGATATGGGTGTTTACGTTAGTTTTCTGTATTGGATCATACGGATCATTAACACCTAGTCGCTAATAAGCACTTAGTTATTATCTTTTTGATCAGTCTTGTATCTATATCAATTACAGATCGTAACAAGGATAATAATAATAATAATAAATGTTTATTTGCGAGAATATGGTACACATGATGTTACACAGTTATTAACAATAGTTTCTCATATTCAACAGTTTATGAACAGTGTGCAAATATTTTTATTTTTAAATGTCATTACATAAAAACAGAGAATAATGTTTCAGTTAAGATGATATCAATAATTAATAATTAACCATTCAACCATAATAATCCATTTACAATTATCATTACAAATGTCAAATTAAATGTCATCTAAATTTAAATTTAATTATCAATTTTATCCATTAAGTAGTCATTAATATTATAATACAATTTATTTATTAAATATTCATGCAGATGTTTTTGGAATTTCGTCAAAGTCATGTCAGTGAGGTGTTTTGGCAGCTTATTATAAATACGTATAGCCATACAAAAAGCATTTTTGGAATAAAGGGTCAATCTTTGTGGTGGCACACACAATTTATCTATAAATCTACCCCTATAATTACAGCTATTACCATTCACTTCAAACAGAACCATATTCCTCTTTACAAATTTAGCTATTTCGTAAATATATAGACAAGGCAAAGGAAGAATATTCAAATTTTTAAAAAGTGGCTTACACGAGTCCAAAAATCCAGCACCACATATAGATCTTATACATTTTTTTTGTAACTTAAAGACTTTGTCACTATCGACGGAGTTTCCCCATAAAATAATGCCATACCGCAACAATGATGCTACATATCCATGATAGCCTGTTATAGCTGCAGTTTTAGATACAGTTTTTCTTATTCTTCTTAGCACAAATACAAATCAGTCAAGTTTAAGCATCATTGAGTTTATATGTATTTTCCAGTTACATTGGTTTTTTTTTTCATAATTAGTTTAACCGATATTATAAATATAATAAGCACAAAATTGTGATTATCGGTAATGGCATATTAAGCACTACCAGAAAAAATTAAAATTTGTATTTATTTTCGTTAACTGTCTACACCCTTATTTTAAACACTGAAGGAGGATAAAAACATAATAAATAAAAACAGCTTATAGCAAAGGCGCACTGTAAGTATGTATAAGTGTACCATGGTATTCAGGTTTGTTTATACAACGTATGTAAATGATGGTTGTTTAGTAAATTATCTTGATAGGAGTTAAAGGATTAAAAGTAGTACTTAATTGGTTACGATTGCTATTGAGCTAGCTAACATTTTAACGGTTCAGTGAATCCGTTACGATTACTATTGAGTTAGATCCGATTCTACTAATGATGTCGTAGTATAGGCATTCAAGTAATTGTTTCCGTTAGTCTGCAATATAATTTGTTACATTCTATTTAGTCACTTTATTACGGGTGACCAAGAATTTATTATATTGACCTTCTCCGTGTATCGTAGGCACGTTAAAAGGGCACGTTTACCAGAAATACTAACTTTCAACTAGTTTTGTGCAAAGAAATAACGCATAAAAAAAATAATATTAAATAACTACATATCTATAAGTCTTCTATGACATCCATGACGTGTTTATAAAACATGTAACCTCCTGCTTTTGGATTTTGAAGTCGGTTAAAAGGTTACAGATACCATTAATTATACCTAACACTTTTCCTGCGTACGTGTCAGCCGCATAGGAAGGATCTAGATTAGCCTCCCGTAGGTGAAAGAATTTTTAAAATCGGTTGGTTATTTCAACACACAATTTGCATCAATTTGCATATGCAAAGAAACGAACATACAAACAAACCGTTTTAAAACGTGTTTTCTCTTTATAATATTAGTATAGACGTCGATCTAGCAACAAGAAACTCTAGGGCTGTTAAAAAGAGACGCTATTGAATGAAACTTTTTACGTGCTAGAATTATTATAACGTAAGCATAATTGAGGCCCTGCTTCAATTAATTAAAATTTATTTTATTTTAATTCTTCTTGAATAATGTTGAAATCAGCACTTTTGTGTTAGTAGTTTAGAGAATTCCAGATTCGATCTGATGGATAAGCGAATCATAAAATCGGTAGCTAAAGAACAAGGGTTCCTTTGTTCTTAGCCGTGTTAATAATTTCAGGCGAAGATCGCACACCAAAATATTTTGATAGCCCTGAAAAATTCAGACTTTTGATTTGAAATGCAACATCCGCACCATAGTATTAGGGAAGGCATTATGTTTAATATATATTTAACATAAATATTATTTTTACGATTATATCAATCAACGACAATTT